GTGATCTCGACCAAGATGGGCAAGTCTGAAGAAGATGTTCGCTCTATGTGGAATAAGATCAAAGACCAACTTGGCTGACCATTGACATATGCGAATCACAAGGAAAAGGTACGTTGCGGTACGGTATTACTGTTTCACCAACCCGTTGGCCTTCATTTTGGGAATTTTCTTCTTGTTTATCTTCAGAACCATGGGCGCTGTTGTCCCATTGAATTCTGACACGTCGTATCACACAACCCGCCAGCCATTTATTATGTCTCTCCGCGTTCACCTGGACCGCTATTGCCAACAGCGAGCTATGTCCCACGAGAGGATCTCACCTACACGACGCTCACGCTCTCCAACCAGGACGTCATCTTCCGCTATGGGCTCTACGTCATTCCGGCACCCACCCAACCGGTCTTCGCCTCCGACACCTCACCGACCGGTTATTTTCCAGTTGGACCTGAAGCCGATGCAACAACTGGCCGTACGCAACCCTTATTACAACATCTTGACCCCCAATGTCGCGGGCAACCTTCCTACGGCCACCTATGACAGCTTGTTCCAGACGTTCAAGGTCATCTACCCGGACTATGCTCGCAGTCATTTCGTTTCAGACCTCAAAACCGTAGTCACCGACACACTGCTACAACGCTGGTCCATACACCTACCAGCGTCGGAGTTCTACATGATGATTGACACCGATCAAGGAGCTCAGATGCTTGACGACCTTCCTCATTCTCTTCTGGATGTTTTGAATTGGTTCTACCCGAGATGGAAAACTCATCAACATCTCGATGCCTTCACGACCCGCGAGTGTTCTCCGTTGCTGCTGACACCACATCCAGATGCACAAGACACTGGCTTTGCTGTACATGTTCAAGTGATTCCCCGTGGACATCCATTCGTCACGGCCACCCGATACACTAAAGCCGCTGAGTGATTAGCTGTCTTGATGGATCTTGACACGGCTCATGTCTATGAGGAAAAAGACCAACATTCGTTGTGATGTCCACCACCCCGGTTCTGATTTTCCCTTGTGTCATCCTTTTCTCGTTTTCCATTGGGTGATATTCGTTATTTATTCCTTCATCATTGACCTTCCCCACGGCCTTTTGGCTTCAGTTTAGTATTTCCCGCTATCATATTCTTTTGATCGTACATGATGACCTCCAACACGGATGATCCTGCTCGATTGGTCTCGCACGGTTTACCACCTACATCCATATATGGCCTTGCCTCACACTTGCCACCGGATGATCCTACCTCGGCATCCTATATTCCTCGTGCAGCGAGAATGATTCCGACCTCTACCACTGTCCACTCCGTCTTCATCAAGAAGCTGAGCTATCCTTTGTCTAACCGTTCAGATGAACTTTGGATCGTGGAAAGGACACTTGATGGTCTTGAAACGTGGAAACCAGTGGAAACATTCCTGGAGAACATGCACCTCACCAACGACCAGGCAACCTTGCGCACTACAGCTAACCATTGGCGCAGATACTATGATGTACCAATTCAACCATCATCCTCCTCCCCTACGGCAACTACTGTTCCCGTTTTACCACACCCTGAACACTCCAACGTCCATGTCTCACAGCCGTACGAAGCGATACCGGACCACCTCCATATTTTACAGTCATGCTGGGGACGCTCCGCCCAACACCATTCTCAAGGCACCACTACCTCTTTATATTGGCCACCTTGGCGGTCTACACCACCGTCTTCCCCACCGGCAACACTACAACGTACTGTATATCTCACTCGCCCCGCTGTCCCTCCTCAACAAGTACATGGTCCGTTGGATGCGAACGATATTGACCCGATGGATATGTCGGATTCAAGTGTGTAATATACCACATTATTTGTCGGCGGAAAAAAGACCTGTGATTCATCGTCTCTTTGTGTGACCATTTACTAGGTACACCGTTTCTCTTTTATTTCTAACACTTTGTGCTTGTTCCTGTGGCTATTCCAACCCATTTTGCAGCTTGGGCTTTGCGCTTTATCCTCGATACTTCACATTCGACGCAATGGCTCGTTCTTCTCGACCCAATCCATATCGCGCTACATCTACGATTGAGACACCGCTTGGTACACGAACCGTTGGGTGGATTGCTGGACATCGAGGCCTCCCTGGTGATGCGAACCCTCCTCCAAACAGACCTGTCCTTATCTTGGTTGACTTCTCTCCCTTACAGGCATTGACTCACCGAAGCGAACCTGACCGTGAACACTACATGGCTCTGGTGAACTCCAATTTTAGACATGTCAGTGGCTTTGAACTTGCAGCTTTGTTTACCTGGTCACGTCAGATGGAACCAGTTGAAGCCGGCCTCATCCCAATTGCCGAACTCCGCTTTTGTATCTCCAAAAGATTGAGGTCCCAATGGGACATCCAAATTGATCCCTCGAACCTGGAGTTTCGCTTTTGCGACTTGGACGGTGATACATTCCAAGTTTCCAATGATATGACGGTCTTGCAGCTTTTGGAGGCATACCGACCTGAGTGGCGACTTCGGCAGTACAATTCCCGCGAATCCTCTTTCCTCATCCCGGGTACCAGACAGCCTTTCGTACTACGCTTGCAATGCTACAAAATTAGCTCCGGTGTGATCCTGCCCTGATGCACTAGCCGGCCAAAAAAGACCATGCTACAGGGTTTTCAATTCCTCCTTGACACCCCACTAACACAAAGGATTTTTCGATTTCTATTTTATTTGACTTGGAGCTGTGGCTTCTCCGTCGCAACTGACCCACTTGATTGAGGACTGGATTTCACTTTTATCATTTTTGTGAATATTATCAATTTCGGGATTGGCTTTCTTCTGCAATTCTTGATGCTTCAGCCGTTGTTGCACTATTTCTCGTATTTGTGACAGTTTCACCCATGGAACACAAACGAGACGCGACCGTGGCGGGCTTGTCTTGGCCTGCGAACCCTACTCGTGGACTCGCTCCTACCGACCCAGTTCAAGTACCAGACGCCTCGACTTCTGCACTATGTCACTCAGGAGCTCCCGACACTACGACCAACCCTACTCCGGCACCTTTGGTAACTGACAGTACGGCACCTGCTACGGGTACCCTGGCCCATTCTGATACATATTCAGGACCAGCACCTCCTGGCGTTCCATTTCCGACAGAGTCAAGTTCTACACACAACTACCTCCATCGTGCTCAGTTCTCTTCTCGCGTGGTTCACCAGATCCAATTCAAGGTCATTACCCACTCCAACAACACCAGGGAGCTATTCATTGAAGAAATTCCTTTGTTAGGGCATTCCCGATGTCGTGACCCTGAACACTATTTCTATGGTCTCTCCGGCAACTGGGAGTGGTCCCTGCGCACAGCGGACTATTGGCGACATCATTTTGAGATTCCCCTTGTACATGGACACCATCCTTTTCACAATGTGCCCATTGAGACGACATCTCCTGGAGATGAACCAAGGCTGACCACCCGGATCCATGAATTAGCCAAAGATCTATCTGACACCTTGAAGGCTGCTACGGCATCGGGGGAATTCGATCAGACTTGGGCGATGGTTGAACGCATGAGCTTCCACGATGCTATGGAAGTCCTTCTACAAGCTCCGAATTCCTCTTCTGACTGAAGTGACCGCCCTTTTGTACATTAGGTTATTACAGGTTCACTTTCACTGGTGTCTTGCCGATTCCGCCAGCGAAGTTCTTCCAAAAAACCGACCTCGCTACATGCGAGGTGTGTGTGTGTACCATCTGAACAGATGTAAAACTTCTGATTGGTTTTCACTAATTTGCAGGGGGCCACGGCTCCATTCATCAGTCCGTGGCCAACGAAGCTACTGATGTTTGGAGAGGATATGCAGTCTGATCAACTGCACGTACCTGCTTTTTTCGGACATAGCAAGGGGCCAAGCTTAGAACCCCAACCACAATATTATACAATTTGCTGCACTGTTGTCGCAATCTGGAATCAATTTTGAAATTTACATGCATCAGAACCTTCCTCAGATTTTCGCCGAAACCATATCGCCGACAGTATTATGTTTTTTGACTTATTTTCGCCGAGACCCTGTCGCCGACGAACTATGGGTTATTTTGGGAAACAATCGCCGAAACATTATTTTGGATTTCAACATGCTGGTCAAAACTCTATGGAATCTGGTTATGACTACGTTTGACAATTTCGGATGCCCTACATCGTTTGCGAGAAGTACCTCATGTGGCTCTTTTATTCATCAAATAATCTAGGCTGGTTTGCATGTTTCAGGATTCAGTTCCTGCCGGATCATATAATGATCCATTCTTGTCTAGTGTGTGTATTTATTTACATTTGTATATATATATAATATATTATATATATATATATTATATATATATATCTTATATATATATATACTATGCATATAGTTGCATCATGTTGCATCTATCCATGCAAACATATACCAACGGACGGCTTTTTTTCCTTGTTTCCCTCACCTAAAACTGGTTCCGTCTTCAACCCTCAACTCATTGGATTTACATCTTTACATCCTCATTTCGCGTGGCCTGCGTGGCGGATCGTATTTCAAGTCGGAATTAAAAAAAGACTCTTTAAAGCAAACCAGCTGATCCGCGATCTGCCATGTGATTCATGTGAAACCTGTCAGGAGTCTACGGGGAGGGGGCTGCAGCAGCTAGTCAAGAGGGAAAACTATTGTCCTGGTGTTGTAGTCTTTATTCAGTTTCTTGGTATTTCCTCCAGATTTGACAGCTTTTCCCAGTTGCAGTTGAGTAGTTTTCAAATCCCTCTGTCCTCCCTCTATATTGCTTGGTTCATAGCGATTACCAACTACCAGCTCATGGATTACGATAAACCCCAATATATATGGTAGCCTAATCCCCCAACTACTCATCAACCATCACTTATCAATGATATCTCATATTCTCGATGCTTTTGCTTTTTTGAACCCCTTATAAAAGGCTTAAATCCCCATTGGATCACTGTAGCCACTGCGATCCCATGACCCATCACCCGCATTTTCAACGAGCGGCCCTCAGCATGGCTCTGCAAGGCTTTCAAAGCTCCTGCCCAGAGGCAGCTGCGCCAAGGGCGATGGAAAACTGGATGGCCACGAAAAAGATGTGCCATGGATTTTTTTCGAAGATTTAAGGGGAAAATATATGGAAATATGGGATACGAAACCACCCAAAAATGGGAATATCAACGAATATCATAGGAATAGAAGGGGTGTAACCAACGTCATTTGGGATTCATGGTTGATGGTCGTCTCAGAACGGGAATCCTGGACAAGAAAAGATTGACAAGAAAAAATGGGCTCAAAAAAACATCCCTACGGTGGATGGTTGCGAAATCCTGCACCACCTTGAATGGTTGAAAACCTATAAATAATGGGATAAACAACCTATCAACTGGTGCAGGATTTCTTCCGTCCACAGTATGAAACCGGATTGATGACTGACAATATAATATCATATGGGCATACAATCCAACTTTGACTATGCACATATGGTTGTTTTGCAATGGGTGGTGTCGGTCAGAATCGCAAAGCTGGGACCTGCAGACCACTTTTTTGTCCCTGTTGGGTTTATTTGTAGCAGTAATTACCCACCAGTAAATTTACATAGACCCTGGCAGATAGGGGTTGGAAGATTAGTTTCCATTAAAAATTGGTGGTTTTCAGGGTTTACAAGTTAATTTACCAGAGGGTAAAATGGATCATCAATCAGCCAAGAAAACGATGGAACACCACAAGGGCACCTACTCACAAGGGCCCTCTGTTTAAAGCTTCAACTCGAGATCCTGGTAGTGATGTGAGTGATGAAAATAACCCCAGTGATCATACATCCCTCTTTTTTTCGAAGGCTTATCCGATGCATCTAAAAAAAGGCTATAAATATGAGTACCAAGTAACTACTAAATAAGTGGGATGATCCTCCAAGATAGCCCCCCACGTTTGTTGGTTTAAATTCCCAGTTCTTATTTGATTTACGTTAACCCAAAGATCAAAATCAAAACGAACTGAATGGTAGGTCACAGACCTGATACAAATTGATGTTGGGAGGTCCTTGCGCCCAAATCATTCCTTATTGTAACGTCACGTAGATACATGTGTATTAGTATATTATTTACATATGCTGCGTATTGACGGTACACGCCCTGCATGCATTCCTCTGGATGCCACATCATCCAACAGATTCTATCCTTCGTAGAAATCAAACATCCCGAAGTGCCTAAGCGGATATTTTTTTCATGTTTCTGACACACTCATTCTTGATTTCAGCAGGTGAAATGCCACAGTTTCTTGTGGCTTAACAATCCCAAATTTCGTTCACAAAATTCTCTAGCAGTTGTTGAATAGACGCTGCCCCTGTAATATTCGATAACCGTTTGGCCGCGAAGCCCCTCTCTTCTACAATGGTGTTGCCATCTTGCCGCGTGCCCTGCCCAAAGCCAACTGGTAGCTGTTATCTACTTATTAAATGTACTTAGATAGATAGACAGACAGACAGATAGACAGACAGATAGACAGACAGATAGATAGATGGATAGACAGATAGATAGATAGACTTAGACAGATAGATAGATAGATAGAAAAACAAATAGACAGTCAGACAGATAGATAGATAGATTAGATTAGATTAGGTTAGACTAGATTAGATTAGATAGATAGAAAGACAGACAGATAGATAGATAGAAAAACAGAAAGACAGGCAGACAGATAGATAGACAGACAGACAGACAGATTGATAGATAGACAGACAGATAGGCAGACAGACAGATAACAGATAGATAGATAGATAGATAGATAGACAGACAAACAGAGAGATAGATAGATAGAGAGACAGACAGATAGATAGATAGATAGACAGACAGACAGATAGATAGATAGACAGACAAACAGATAGATAGATAGACAGATAGATAGATAGACAGACAGATAGATAGACAGATAGAAAGACAGACAGATAGACAGACAGACAGACAGATAGATAGACAGACAGACAGACAAACAGTTAGATAGACAGACAGTCAGATAGATAGACAGGTAGATAGACAGGTAGATAGATACATAGACAGGTAGATAGACAGGTAGATAGAAAAACAGAAAGAGAGGCAGACAGATAGATAGACAGACAGACAGATTGATAGATAAACAGACAGATAGGCAGACAGACAGATAATAGATAGATACATAGATAGATAGATAGATAGATAGATAGGTAGATAGGTAGATAGGTAGATAGGTAGATAGGTAGATAGATAGATAGATAGATGGATAGATAGATGGATAGATAGAGAGACAGACAGATAGATAGATAGGTAGGTAGATAGATAGGTAGACAGATAGATAGCATGGTGAGGTCGTCGAGGTGTGCGCGAGCGATCAGATTGTGCAGCAGGGACAGCATTCGAATCTTGGCTAAATTGAGAGATCAGGTCCTGGGACGCCATGATGTAGACAGTAGCCACGGGATGCTCGGACGAGGATAATAGCAATAAGCCAACTGAAAAATTAAATGCGGTAAGGGTGAAAATGCAGTGCGAAAGGGCTACACGCCCAGGTTTGTGTGAAACTTGATGTGGCACGACCAGGTCTGTGTGAAACATAAGGTGAAACATAATGTGACACGACACGCAGGCAGCAGTTCATATAAGTTTTGACGGAAGAAGTGGCTGTGAATACCGAATGTCGGGAGAAGCATTGTTACTCCAAAAAAAGTCGCTCCAACATTTGTGATAGACTCAAGATGATCGATGGTGTATCATTCATTTCTAGTTAATTCGATATCTGGGGTATCATGTCTTTTTTCATGTTCGGCCGGTCCTGGAAGCTCTGCCTGTCGCGCTGCCGCTGGTTTTGAGGAGGGAATTGGTCGCACTCCAGGAGCAGCTGGCTGACCCGCGCGGGGCGGTAGCCACGGCGGAGGAGCTCTCGCCGAACAAGGGCCTTGTCCCCATTGAACCTCGCTTTCAGGTCGTAGACAACGCGCTGGACTGGGCCCACCATGTCTGTTGGTCCGACGGGGTGTGGGAGCGGAGAGGCGAGGGCTTGTTAGCTTTGCGACGGCTGCGGTTTTTTGTTTTTTGCCGTGACTCAGATCTGGATGATGACTACGTAGTACCACTTATAAATACCGGATGCACCGGACACCCCGTATTTGGATAGCGATAGGCTTGGAACATAATCGCCGACTACTGGAGCCATATTTCTAGGATATATATATATATATATCAGCTGAATCTGTAAGAGGTGCTGGACTGCCGTTTGCTTCCAATATTCTCCCCAATACTGCATCCATCCACATCACCGGCTATCATCTATGACCGATGTCCTTGCGACCCAGCCAAGGGACCAAACTTCCGAAGGGCATCTGCGTACCAACTGGGCCCAAGAAACTTCATGCCGGAGAAGTGACCTGGAGAATCAAAGACAACGATTGCAGGAGAAGCTTCTTCATATGGGGCGTCTGGTAGGATAAGTCTCCATCATCAGGGCGGAGATGCTTGCAGCCTAAAAAGTTTCGTAGGCTTGACTTGAGGCGCTCTTCGATATACCATGAATCATACTCATCTAGACAACACATTTCCCAGCGCCGAGGGGGCTACTACCCCAACACTGGAAAAAATGCGCCGTCGCTCTTATTATCCCCTCGGTTGCTTTCTTCTAATGTTTATCTACCATAGATAGATAGATAGATAGACAGGTAGATAGATAGATAGACAGATAGGTAGATAGATAGATAGATAGACAGACAGAGAGATAGATAGACAGACAGATTGGTAGATAGATAGACAGATAGATAGATAGATAGACAGACAGATAGATAGATAAATAGACAGACAGGTAGATAGATAGATAGATAGATAGACAGACAGATAGATAGATAAACAGATAGGTAGATAGATAGATAGACAGGCAGGTAGATAGATAGATAGATAGACAGACAGATAGATAGATAGATAGACAGGTAGATAGATAGATAGATAGATAGACAGGCAGATAGATAGATAGATAGACAGACAGATAGATAGATAGATAGAAAGACAGGCAGAAAGATAGATAGATAGATAGAGAGATAGGTAGATAGATGGATAGATAGATACATAGACAGATAGATAAATAGATAGACAGGTAGGTAGGTAGATAGATAGACAGACAGATAGATAGATAGACAGACAGATTGATAGATAGATAGACAGATAGGTAGATAGATAGATAGGTAGATATATAGATAGATAGATGGATAGACACATAGATAGATAGATAGATAGATAGATAGACAGATAGGTAGATAGATAGATAGATAGATAGACAGATAGGTAGATAGATGGATAGACACATAGATAGATAGATAGATAGATAGGTAGATAGATAGATAGATAGGTAGGTAGGTAGACAGATAGACAGATAGACAGATAGACAGATAGACAGATAGAAAGATAGATAGATAGATAGACAGATAGGTAGATAGATAGATAGACAGATAGAAAGATAGATAGATAGATAGATAGACAGATAGGTAGATAGATGGATAGATAGATACATAGACAGATAGATAGATAGACAGGTAGGTAGATAGATAGATAGATAGACAGATAGATAGACAGACAGATAGATAGATAGACAGACAGATTGATAGATAGATACACAGATAGGTACACAGATAGGTAGATAGATAGATAGATAGACAGACAGACAGACAGATAAATAGATAAACAGACAGACAGATAGATAGATAGATAGACAGACAGATAGATAGATAGACAGATAGGTAGATAAATAGATAAATAAATAAATAGATAGATAGATAGGTAGATAGATAGATAGATAGATACTTGATGGGTCATCACTTTGGGAAAAACATGGGGGGCTGCCTTAAACGCAGGGTTTTCCTCAAACCTAGGGTGAGAGTTCAAATATCATGCTTTGCTATATGAAGGGGTATTCATGGGTTCGACCAACACACCCGTCTTTTCCAGATCCAAACCTAAAATCCGATTGAGAAGCCCGATGCTTTGACTGTCAAGTTCCCAGCTAAAGCTTAATAATCGATCGCCATTCCACAGGGATTTACAAGTTGTTATGCATATTTATTTAGTAAAAATACAAGGGGTAAAAATAATTTGTGAGCTCCTTTGTACCCGATTAATGATTACCAACGAAGGCTAGTAAATCTTAGTATCGTCATGATTCATGATCTTTCCCTGTTTGCCTGAGATCCCCGAGATAAAACCAAGGGTTATAGTTGATGCTAGAACCCGGGGTTTGAAAGCATAAGGTGTGATTGAAAGGAAACACTGAATTCAAACCAAGCATCTTTTCGTGCAAAGCCCTTGGGTGGCGGCGGACGCCCAACCAGACGAGCGCGATCGCCAGAGCAGCCGCGGCCGCCCTCAGCATTCCCAAATCCCTACTGTGAACTGATCTTGACCGAAACCCATCTGCACAGGGAGATGTGATTTATGTACGCGTCAGTCCTGAACCCAAATTCCAGAGCTGTGCGAGGGGGGATCAGCAAAACAACGACAATCATCAAATGCAGGGCCAGCTTAGTCAAACAGTGACAACGCAAGAGGCAGATAGAGGCAGCAAAACCAAAAATTGCCTGCCAAGCGGCGCTGCCAGCAGGCAGGTCGTGAGGATGACTTGCCCTTAGCAAATGCGAGCTTGACGATCCAGAAACGCTGGATTCCATGTCATTACTTCAACTCTTTGCATCCAAGTGGCTCAAGTCATCCTCAGTGGTGAAGGTCACTGTGATGAGCTTCGCCGCCATGTAGCTGAATGCACCTGGCTAAATCTTTTTATTGGTCAAAGCAGGCGACTCAGGGATTCAGGATGTCAATCTTACTGAGACTGCTCAAGGCTCCCAAATTTGTTGGAAATGCCCGTTTCGTTTGGGAGGTTTCGGAAGCCCATGTCAGTTTGCATGTCACTTTGTCGGGGTTTGATCTCGGTTGCGGCCAAAGATCAAAGGCCAACAGCCAGAACCTCCACGGCAGTTGCCAAAGCGCACAGCAGTGGCTTCAAGTGCTTCCCCCGAAGCGCCCAAAGAACTTCAACGACTCGGCTATTCCAATGGCTGGAGCCCGCGTGAACCACATGCGGTAAGTTCAGGCCTGTCTCTGAAAGATACACTTACTTACTAGCCATGTCATGCATCTTGGATCCACAACACGCACTGTACATGCATTGCATACATACTTCAGTACCGCACAGTCAATGTGCTATCATTTACCACGCACAACTCCATGCAGAATTCAACGTAAGTGGGCCCAATTTCATGACAAAATACATTCACATACCGCCTCATGCCAACAGTTACTGTTACAGGCATTATATGGCATGTCGTGCATTGCCAGTCGTTACACGCCCCAGCGGTCCCTCAACAATTGCTGTAAATCCCATTGGTTTCGCCCACCCTGGCACCCTGGCTGGCCCCACAAAAAAAGCAACTGGGTACAGTACACATCCGAGCCCCTCGGACGCCACAGTGGATGTAACAAATTAAGTGTGCCATCAGATTTATTGACACTAACTAAGGCCTGTTTACAAAACCGAACTTATCCTCCCAGTCCCCTTGTTGAGCCATGCAGCCAACACCACACAAGCAACCGGCTCCAAAGCCACAGCGAGGCCGGGGACCAGCCTGTATTCGCAGTCCGCTGCCTGCAAACAAGCATGAAAGAACAACAGGCAGCAGCAGCAGCAGCAGCAGCAGCAGGAGCAGCAACAACAACAACAACAGCGGCAACAACTGCACCCCAGCACCTTGATGCACTCCACCACAATAGGCCCATCCGCTGGCCGGAGCATGGCGCTGTTAAATGCGGGCGGTGACCCTCAGAAATGCCGTTTTGATAAAAATAGACTTGAGGGTTGAGAAGTCAGCGAAAAAAAATGTTTTAGTATCTATGTATTTTTATGTTTTTAATGATTTTGTTTAAGATTTTGATTTATGAATTGGAAAAAAATGTTTTTTTGGATTTATGATTGTTTTATGGTTTTTAATGATTTTTTATAATTATTCTATGATTTTTTTATGCCTCATTTTATGATTTGTTTATGATTTTTTTATGATTGATTTTTTTCCGCCCACGTCGCCCTAATAAAATCATGAAAGAAAACAAAAAAATCATTAAAAACCATTTTTTCATAAATGTTTATGATTTTTTGTGATTTCGACAAAAAATGGAAAATCATAAAATTTTCATTTAAAAAAAAAACATGTTTTTTTAATAAATGCTTATGATTGTTTAATGAAAATTTTATGTTTTTTTAATGAAAAGTTTATGATTGTTGTATGATTTTTTAATGATTTTTATGAAAATTTTATGATGGTTTTTATATTTTTTTTCCGCCCACGGCTCCCCAATAAAATCATTAAAAAATCATAAAAATAGCCATAAAAAATCATAATTTTTCATAAATTTTCATAAAATCAAAAAATCTTTGTTCCAATTCATAAATCAAAATCATAAAAAATCAAAAAAAAAATATCATTTTAAAAAAAAAAAAAAAAACTAAAATTTGATTTCTTATGCCTTCCCCAAACTCTCAAAAATAGACGGCTCCATTTGGTACCATTTACCTATGGGCTCTATTTATCAACCAACCAGTATTGAAAGGACAACCATGATGACCCTTTGCACTGAACACATCTGAACACCTTGACCCTTGAGACATGCCTCGAGACAAACATTGTATGATAGCATCCTGCCATGCTATACGATGATCCTATCATGTCATGTCGTGTGAGCCATGTCTTTTGACTTCTGTCTTGCAATCCATCACATCGCATCGCAGCACCACATATCACACGGTGCATTCATTTCATACTAACATCACTATTTGGGAATGGCATTCGCAGGTTTTCAAGAAGTGGGGGTGTTTCTGCACAAAACGGTGTCTGATCAATCCTCTCCTGGAGACGAAGGATGACCCATTTAACACAAAATATTTTGGGAAAACGGTCCGCATCAGAATCACACACATGATTTCAGGTTTTGCACCCATAGTTGTATTTACCACATGACCGATCGGTAGCGTGTTCAAATACTCAAAGTCAAGCCGGTTCCCAGATAATTCTAGGCAATGCATCAGAAAAACCTCATCTCGCATTTTTCTGCAAAATCACATCCATTTCTCTACCAATTCCCGGCTGCTTTTCACATGCACAAGTCATCAAAACTCAAGCTCGTTGATGGGGGATTCCTGGGGACCCTATCGAAAAAATACTCCGACTCATCTTCAAACCATGTCAGTTAGAACACGGAGAAGAACTTTATCCAAACCATGTCAGTAACTGAAATTGCTAGCTGGTATTGGTCGTGATGCTGCTGCTGCTGCTGTGGTGTTTGTGGTGGTCCCATAGGGCGTGGTCACATAGGGCGTGGTTTTGAGTCACTTGGCAAAAGGTTCATTGAGTCACGAGGCAAAGTACGGCGTCGGCCATAGAATGTGAGGCTGGATGAGGTGTACAAGGGCCTCTATTTATCACATCTAACAAAGGTGCCCAGGGGCTACTGGTCTGCGAATTGGAGCTACAGTCAGCTAAATCTTGGGGAATAGAACTCTTGACACTTCGATCCATCGCATGGAGTGAAAACATCTTGAGTGACGAGCCAGTGACTGGCAAATTTCTTGCGCCCACTGAAAGCTCACATCAGAGGTAAAGGTTGGATTTAAGGGTATGTAATGGTATGGACTGGTATGCAATGTTATGCAATGGTATGTAATGGTATGTATGTATGTATGTATGCATGCATGCATGCATGCATGCATGGATGTATGTATGTAGGTAGGTAGGTATGTAGGTATGTATGTATGTATGTTTCAAAGAATAAAAAAATATATATAGGGAGGGAGATAGCAATTTTTTCCGCAACTCTGAAGGTCGGGCTCACTGATAGACAGACAGACAGACAGACAGACAGACAGATAGATAGATAGATAGACAGGTAGATAGATAGATAGATAGACAGGCAGATAGATAGATAGATAGACAGACAGATAGATAGATAGAAAGACAGACAGAAAGATAGATAGATAGATAGAGAGATAGGTAGATAGATGGATAGATAGATACATAGACAGATAGATAAATAGATAGACAGGTAGGTAGATAGATAGATAGACAGACAGATAGATAGATAGACAGACAGATTGATAGACAGATAGACAGATAGGTAGATAGATAGATAGGTAGATAGATAGATAGATGGATAGACACATAGATAGATAGATAGATAGATAGATAGACAGACAGATAGATAGATAGGTAGATAGATAGTAGACAGACAGACAGATAGATAGATAGACAGACAGATAGATAGATAGATAGATAGACAGGCAGATAGATAGATAGATAGAGAGACAGACAGATAGATAGATAGATAGAAAGACAGGCAGATAGATAGATAGATAGACAGAGAGATAGATAGATAGATAAATAGATAGATAGATAGATAGATAAATAGATAGATAGATAGATAAATAGATAGATAGATCGATCGATCGATTGATCGATAGATAGATAGATAGGTAGGTAGATAGATAGATATTTTGGTCATATCAAAACCAAATGGCTATGGTGTCCTGGTGAACCCCAAATTAGCTCGCATTTTTGAGCACTCATCCCTCGAAAATTCCTGGTTCTAACCATATAACAGCCAACTAACACAACATCAAAACCCCATAAACCTAATTTTTGCAAGTAAAACCCCGCCAAATCAACCACCATCAACCACCATCAAGCACCATCAACCACCATCAACCCTGCCAAATCAACCACCATCATTTTTGCTACACAATGCTGAACTGAACTGCTCACTTTTTGGCTGTCCCATCGCCAATCGCCTCGATGTAAGGAGATCTTCTCACTTCCACTCATGACCTCAGAGGATGTCAAGGCAGATTTTTTTCGCGGATCATCTCATGGGATCATCTCAGTAGATGTAACTGGAAAATCACCATTTTTATAGTGTGGATCATCATAAATCATCCGGATGGTCCTAACTAAATTTCTAAATACTGAAAATATCATTGGAATATAGATATATATATATAGGTTTTGTGTAAACATATCAAATACACATGAGATTTTTTGATGGGATCTTTATTGGAGGAGCATCCCACTTACATAGTGACTGGTTGGTAACCACAGCTAGTTTCACCAGCTATAGGAATGGGATAAGCGGATAGCTCAACAAATACAGGGGACTTTTGATCACTAGAGTTATTATTAACCTCTCATTACCCTCTGGTAAACTAACATAGCTATTGAAAATTACCATTTATAGTGGATTTTCCCATGAAAAATGGTGATTTTCCATAGCTATGTTAGTTTACCAGAGGGTAACTGAGATGATCTCCAAGTACATATAGTAACCCCCAAAAAGATGCCTTTTTTTGTGTGCCACCAGGGCAAAGAGTTCGATGATGTTTTCTTCAACTTTTCCAGGGTTTCCAGCTGTTTGGCATTTCCGGCAATCAAACGTGGCTAGCATTATAGCTGCAAAAAATCATCGATAGCTAGGGTTTTTTCACTGCCAAGTTTGATTAGCAGAGGGTAGTTGATGTTTGATTTCACACTAATGTTCACTTTGCTGGATTTTGAAGCTTGGAGGTTGGATTTTTCAATAAGTCTGGGTGAATTATCATAGCCAAAAGTTAGTGAACTATGATAGTTCACCCTGACTTATTGAAAAATCATAGTAGTAAGTTGGATAAGTTGGATTATCCAAAAATATCCCAATAATATCATGAAAATATCATTAACCCAATTAATCTATTATATCTATGATATTCATTAACCCAAAATATCCCAGATTTTCTAACCTGACATTTTGCGATATTTTTTGGGATAATCCTGGGCCTCCGTACCCCTCGAACTCCCTCACTCCGGCCCAGCAAGTCGCCTGGCCGAAAAAACCCGTGGAGTGAGTGAAAAAAACCGGGGAATGCCTAACTGTCAGTTAAATAAGCAGGTGATAGTACTGGTTAGTTGTAAGAAATACTGAAAATGAGTAGTCATGAGAAGTTCATAATGACAATGAGTAGCTGGCAAATGCAAGAAATCTAGGTAATAATTATCAAAAGCGAGACACTGCTAGTCTATGAATTGACAAGTAATAATGAGTAGTAACAAATACTAATTAGTAGTGTGTTTGATCCCATGTAACTAGCTATAACCATTTGATCAACCAACCAGCCAGCCAACCAAGAAACAAATTAATTGCCTATTGCCTCTGGTTATTTAACATAGCCATGGAAATTTGCCCGTTTATAGATGTTTTTGTTGATGATTTACCTATTAAAAATGGTGATTCTCCATAGCTACGTTAAATATCCAGAGGGTATTATAAAATAATGATGCAGAATGATTAATGATGATTAAGGATGATGGTTAACGATGAGCCATGACTAGCAATGATGTGTTAATGATGAAGATGGTCACAATGAATAGTTTCACATCACCATAGCATACCTACATAATATAATCATGGATAATCATATCAAACCATTGCGGACCCGCTAATATCAGTATACCATTAAAGGATATCAAAGGTTTGTTCTTTAAATAATCAGTTTTTACAACATCTGATCTCAAAAAAGTAACCCATCAATACTGTACCACTAGAGAATCTAGTTTGTGATCATTAAAGCCATCAAAATCGCCCTGTCTGCGCCCGACTTGGCGGCCTTGACTTAGTATCTAGAGAGTACCTTGCAGTCGCAAGTCCCTGATCCATGGGGTCCTATTGCCCGTGGATTTGTCTCGCTTGTGTCCGGGTAGCCCTTTTCCACTCGAGCTACGTGTCCCCTAAAAGTAGACCCCAAATGGTTGTTTTTCGATGTCCCTGTTGCCTGTGTGCATCATGTTGCTGCATGCTCCCATATTCCTCCCTAATCCTCCCTGGTCCCCAAGTCCCCCCCATGTCCCCTAAAAGTAGACCCTATATAATGGGTGTTTTTTCCACATAAGGGTATGTTCAATCTGGGCGCGAGTGAGTCGTTTCTATGGGCGTAAGTGAGATTGGTCCCTATATTACAAGTACACATGTATGTATGTATGTATGTATGTATGTATGTATGTGTATGTATCTGTATGTATCTGTATGTATCTGTATGTATCTGTATGTATCTGTATGTATGTATGTATGTATGTATGTATGTATGTATCTGTATGTATGTATGTATGTATGTATGTATGTATCTGTATGTATCTGTATGTATCTGTATGTATCTGTATGTATGTATGTATGTATGTATGTATGTATCTGTATGTATGTATGTATGTATGTATGTATCTGTATGTATGTATGTATCTGTATGTATGTATGTATCTGTATGTATGTATGTATGTATGTATCTGTATGTATCTGTATGTATGTATCTGTATGTATGTATGTATGTATGTATCTGTATGTATGTATGTATGTATGTATCTGTATGTATGTATCTGTATGTATGTATCTGTATGTATGTATCTGTATGTATGTATCTGTATGTATGTATCTGTATGTATGTATCTGTATGTATGTATCTGTATGTATGTATCTGTATGTATGTATGTGTATGTATGTATCTGTATGTATGTATCTGTATGTATGTATCTGTATGTATGTATCTGTATGTATGTATCTGTATGTATGTATCTGTATGTATGTATCTGTATGTATGTATCTGTATGTATGTATCTGTATGTATGTATCTGTATGTATGTATGTATCTATCTATCTATCTATCTATGTATGTATGTATGTATGTATGTATGTTTGTATCTATGTATGTATCTATGTATGTATCTATGTATGTATCTATGTATGTATCTATGTATGTATCTATGTATGTATCTATGTATGTATCTATGTATGTATCTATGTATGTATCTGTATGTATCTGTATGTATCTGTATGTATCTGTATGTATCTGTATGTATCTGTATGTATCTGTATGTATCTGTATGTATCTGTATGTATCTGTATGTATCTGTATGTATCTGTATGTATCTGTATGTATCTGTATCTGTATGTATCTGTATGTATCTGTATGTATCTGTATGTATCTGTATGTATGTATGTATATGTATGTATGTATCTGTATGTATCTGTATGTATCTGTATGTATCTGTATGTATCTGTATGTATCTGTATGTATCTGTATGTATCTGTATGTATCTGTATGTATCTGTATGTATCTGTATGTATCTGTATGTATCTGTATGTATCTGTATGTATCTGTATGTATCTGTATGTATCTGTATGTATCTGTATGTATCTGTATGTATCTGTATGTATCTGTATGTATCCGTATGTATGTATGTATGTATGTATGTCTGTATGTATCTGTATGTATGTATGTATGTATGTATGTATGTATGTATGTATGTATGTATGTATGTATGTATGTATCTGTATGTATCTGTATGTATCTATGTATGTATGTATGTATGTATGTATGTATGTATGTATGTATATATGTATATGTATATGTTTGCATATGTATATATATTTTTTGTTACATATGGATCACAACTATGCCTACAAACCACTTACGATTCCTGGGATGATCCTCCAAGTATACACAAAGCGGGTTATCAAACAAGGTATATTTATGTGATATTCCTACAAGGTGGTAGGTACCCATACTTTGCTCAGTTGGTTTATGACTAGCCTAACCATTGGATTTGCGGCAGCCATATGGAACTAGTTTTTGGGGTGAACATTAATCAATGGGAATTTCAGGATCCTAAAATGGAGGTACTGTACCATATAAGGCCATATTTTGGGGGAATATTCCCTTACATAGCCCTTACATAGGCCTTATATATGGTAGGTACCTCCAATTTAGGTTCCTGGAATGGCCATTGAATTAACCAATACAATACATCACAATTTTGAAGAACAAAATCCCAAAGGTTCACCAAATTTCATGGTCCAGTCCTCAATATGCCGCGTGTAAAATTTTAACATGGTGAGATCCCAAAAACTCGTAGAATTTTCGCTGGTTTATAGCATCAAATAGTTACCCGGCCTGGTAAACATACAAAAAACTATGGAAAATCACCATCTTTCATGGGAAAATAGCTCTAAATCGTCCATTTTCATCCATTTTCCATAGCTATGTTTGACATAATCAGAGGCATTGTAAAATCTCCATGAAAAATGTCCTCGCATCCCATGGTCACCTGCCGGACTTGCCTCTGACCGCATCCTGAGGGCTCGGAATTTCCTGCATCTCGAACATCTCCTGACAGCCGCTGAGCCCCTTGACACAAAGAAATTGGTTGACTACCTACCCTTTGGTAAATTAACATAGACCCTGGCAGATAGGGGTTGGAAGACTAGTTTCCACTATCAATTGGTGATTTTCAGGGTCTATGTTAATTTACCAGAGGGTAAGGTTTATGGAAAATAAAATGTTTTGACTGTAGTTAAGCCCAGTCATTGGGTTTAGAAATCAACTTATACTTGGGCGGATATCGACCTTCTAACCACAATGGGTGATGAATATGGATGATTTATAATTTGGTTGCGACTGGGAGAATAAATTGAATTAGTTATAATCAATCAAGAATAGGGGATACAGATCAATAATCCAAAAAGCAAGTTCTGAATTTTTGAGGGACCAAACTTGACCATAGATTTGGTTTTCTTGGTTTCCAATGTATGATGGCTCACCAGCGCGAAACCTTCGGGATGCATGGTTGCGGCGATAAGCACACCAAAAGCAGCAACAGCGCAGCCACCTCCAAGCTGAGAAACCGGGCGAAGACAGCGTAGGCAAAAACCATTTCATTGAATTGCAAGCAACACTCAATCAGATGAACTCATGAAGAGCATCTCTTCTCAGCACATCTCTTCTCATGCAACTCAACTGAGCTCTTCTCAGCTCTTCTCAGCTCTTCTCAGCTCTTCTCAGCTCATCTCAGCTCTCCTCGCCTCTTCTCAACTCATCTGAACGCTTCTCATCTTTTATCAGCTCATCTTTCCACTTCTCATCTCAACTCTTCTCAGCTCACCTCAACTCATCTCAATTCTTCTCAGCTCATCTCATCACTCGTCTTCCCTTCTCAGCTCATCTCAACTCTTCGGCTTTTGTTTGTCCGTAACGCGGAAATGCCTTACCTAAATTTCCTTTGATTAACCATTTGCGATTCGTCGGATGATCCTCCAAGTATCTTAAGCTGGTCGGTGGTTGACCTACCCCTCCGAAAAATATGAGTTCGTCAGTTGGGATGATGACATTCCCAATATGATGGGAAAGTCATAAAATTCCATGGTTCCAGTCACCACCAACCAGTAATATGATGTTATAACCCCCATGAACTTTGATATATCTACCATAAACCCAAGTTAACTTGGACACTCCTTAGCTGTTATAGCTCCCCACCGACCTCGCTCCTTATCCCAGAGACACGCGTCCAAGTCGAAGACGCAGAGTTCCGGCACCGCCCGGAGCCGCGTGCGGAGCCGCGTGCGGAGCCGCGTGCGTGGCGCGCAGGAGGTCCTGGTGGAGGCAGTGCTGACTGCGAAGCTGGAAAAATGGAGGTTTTGAGCTGGGAAAATATATGGTTTACTATGTGGTTAATGATGGTTAATGATGGTTAATAATAGGTTTACTATATGGTTAATGATGGTTAATAATCTGGTTGGTGGTTGACCTACCCCTCTGAACAATGATGGACTTCGGAAAAGTTGGGATGATGACATTCCCAACTGCTTCTGGAAAGTCATAAAAAAAAAAAAAAACATGTTCCAAACCACCAACCAGATGGCGAAATGGCTCTGAAATGGCACATGTTTTGCTGCTTAAACCACCATTTACCTGTATTCTTCCTATAGTTTCCTGTGAAATTGCATTGATTTAACCTGGCAATCCCCACGTTTTGTCGACCGCTTCCTCTGCAGTGCTCCCCTTCCAGCAAAGGTCCACTGACCTGAACCCCAGGGAAGGTCAAGCTCTCATTTCAAAGGTTGAAACTTGGGGACTCCTAAAAAGACTTACGAGCACCGTATACATATTATTATTATATTACATTAAATTATATTATATATATATATACATATTATTATTAATATTATCAGTATTAATACTATTATTATTATCATTAATATTATTATTAATATTATTAATAATATTATTATTAATATTATTATTACTAATATTTTTATTAATATTCTTACTAATATTACTATGCACATAGATCAAATTCCCGCTGAAATATCGTACTATCAACAAGGTGTCAGTCTCAGTTCAAGTTCCTAGATTTTGAGCGGGAGAAAGCCCAAGAAAATGTTGGAAACAATGCAACATACCCTCTGGTAAACTAACGTAGCTATTGAAAATGACCATAGAAATAGTGGATTTACCCATTAGAAATAGTGATTTTCTTTCGCCCTCACTCTATTGTGGTGGGAAAAAAAAAAAACTTCCTCCCCGTCCCAATATCCCCAATATCCAATCTTAGAGTCTAGATGCCCTTTCCATATTTGCGCTGGTATACATGCGCATTTGTGGCACAAGGTCAAGAAGTAAAGTACCTTTCACCAGCTGGTTTCCCCGGACATGTTTCTTATATCCCCAGAATTGTTGGTTCTATCACCCCATGATATTTCGATGTTATCCCCATCTTGAAAAAATCATTTGAAAATCTCCCATGAGACATACATTCCCAATATTCCCATACCCTCTGGTAAACGTTTACAAAAAACTATGGAAAATCACCATGCTATTAAGAACGGTAAATCAACTATTTCTATGGGCCATAGCCTCAATGGCTTTTTCTATGCTTACCAGAGGGTATATACTAGGTATATTAATAATCCCCCAACGAATCATCAATCATCGTTTATCAGTTATATCATGTTATACATATTGTTATATTGTTACCCTCTGGTTATTTAACATAGCCATGGGAAAATGGTCCATTTATAGATGGTTCACCTATTAAAAATTGTGATTTTCCATGGCTATGTTAAATAACCAGATGGAATATATAAATTATGAATAAATAGATAAACAATAATATATGTACATAGCCTCCAGTAAACTAACATAGCTATGACGATGCGTTCCCCCATTTATAGATGGGTTTAACATCCTATTGTTAGTTTTTTGTATGTTTACCAGAGGGTAAGATCTCCATCCTTGGTGAATCCCCATCTTTGGACGATGAGCCCGGCACCGTCAATCCAGCAGCGCCAAGCGGACCAAGCGGACCAAGCGCCCAGCGCCAGTCCCAGGCACAAGCAACGCCGTGCCGAAGACGGGGCCATGGTGCGCCGGAGGGTGCTGCTTGGAGGTTGGCGCCGGAAATGGTGATTCAATGGAGGATATAATGTAGGATATAAATATGGAGGATATGATTCCAGGAAAATTGAGGAGTATAAAGTCAAGAATGGGGATATGAGGATCAAATGACGCCAATCGCAAATTCCTGAGCTTTTGTATGTTGAGTAAGGTACGCGATTGGGCTAGTCCATCTATAATTGGCTTGAAAGTCCAGCTACTAGACATGAAGTAACCTTCCGGTCAAGCATCGCAATGGAAAATCTCCAAGTTGAATTCATGTTTGGGCTATGATGGCTGCACATTCCTTTGGCTGCAACGGATGAATCAACCCTTGGCTCTTCAATTGGGGGTGGTATTATTTTAGCAGCAAATGATCACTATTTGGGGTCTCCGCTCTAATCAATCGGTCGATCAATCAATCAAACACTCAATCATTCAACGACGAATCAGTCAATCAGGGTTTCTTCATCCAGGGTTGACATTAACGAGTGAATATCGTATGCCAACTTCAACTCCTTGACTTCGTTTACTTTAAGGTTCACTGGCAAGCAAGTGGTTAGTATGCCCCTCTTTTATCACCCTTCATCAGGGTGCTGAGCCACGTTTGCGGACTGTTTTGTTTGGAGCGTTGACAGTTTAAATGAAATTGAGGTATACCCTCTAGTAAATTGAAATAAAGAGAAAGGCAAAACCCACCATTTCTAGATGAATTCCCTTTTGGAAAGATAGGCTTTCTATATCTATGTTAATTTAAATCAGGGTAGGGCATTGTCCTTTGCAACAAAGAGTGGAGGCCACAGCCTGACAAGGACGGTATGTGAAAATGCCCCATCATGTCGTTCTGAGAATGGGAGATATCCCAGCAATTGTGGTAATATGGGAAGATGTTTGGTTTAAGGGAAAATCTACAGGAAACCATGGTTTTACCATCAAATATAGGGGTTTCCTGTAAATTTTCCCATCATCCAATTCTATGAATATGGGAAGATGTTTCAGTACTCAACGATCCTGCCAATGATTTCTTTGCGAAGCCCCAGTAACTGCAGGAAGGGCCCTTCTATAAGGTTTTTCTTTCCACATCTAGCTACTTTTATATATATATTCTGGTTGAATTACAATAATTCACTAACCTGAAAATAGCTGTTATTAGCTGTTCTCATACAGCCATTTGGGGATGGTTCCCCTTACATTGCCCTTCATTCCAGTGGCGGTCATGATCAAATTCATCCAGATGTATTGATGAATATCACATGAAAAATCCCCATATCCCATGATATCGCCACTTATCTCCCTAGTTTTAAACAACCATCAAATTGGATAAAACAATCCAAAGTCGGGTTTTTTCTGACAAAATCAACACACCTGGTGGCTAAACCATCAAATCCCACGTTGGAATTCCCGTATTTCTCGATGTCCCCGTGACCTTGGGCGGCTGCACGAAAGCTTCACGAGGACACCTGGGGGAGCACCAGGACCTCTCGGAAGAAGTGGTGATTCTATAGATGGGAACTGGTGATTAGTTAACCAATAACTTGGTAAATTAACAGTTGGACCCTGAAAATAGCCTAGTTTTAATGGAAACTAATCTTCCAACCCCTATCTGCCAGGGTCTATGTTAATTTACCAGAGGGTAACCAATATATAGATAGTTAACCAATATACTTGGTTAACTGGTGACCATAGTGATTCGTTATTGGTAACTGATATTGCTAACTATTCACTATGATTCACTATGATTCACTATGATTCACTATGATTCACTATGATTCACATGGGGACCTTTTTTAACCAATCACCGGGATTCTATGGATAGATGGGAACTGGTGATTCGTTAAGTGTGGTTTATTTAAGCCGACAGGTAAGCCATGGTAAGATATGTAAGATGGATAGTGGTTCTTCGTGGATTATATCATATAAAATATCACCATATATGGATAGATGCTACCCAAACTTGGTCAACTGGTGACCATAGTGATTAGTTATTGGTAACTGATATTGGTAACAGTTAACCAATAACTATATAATCATTATGATTCAATATGATTCACATGGGGACCTTTTTTAACCAATCACCAGGATTCTATGAATAGATGGTAACTGGTGATTGGTTAAGTGTGGTTTATTTACTTAAGCCATGGTAAGCCACGATAGATGATTTTTTACCACCCAAGCGCGGCACAGCCACAAGGTGAGGTCTGAAAGAAAAGCCTCTGTTTTCTAACAGGGGGGTGCTGATTGTCATAGTGATTGTTTACCAACATATAGATTCATGTGATGTTCATCAGTATAAATGTGATGTTCATCAGTATAGATTGCCCTCCCCATTTTTCATCAACAGAGCTGACTAATTCCAAGTCGACACTAAAGATACAATCCCCAAAATTTGGTAGTTCCCCAACAGCAATTCGAATGTCGTCCACAGAATATTGGTTTTCCTTCGACATAATTTTGGAGTTGGCCCGGGAAAACTTGGGTGCCACCAAGTTTGGAGGATTCAATCAAAGGATTTGAAGCGTTTGATGCACGTTCTCAATCAATGGAGTGGTTTAAGAAAGAATTCCCAGGAAAGCCATGGTAAGTTTGCCTCCAAATATCGCCTCCAAATATCGGGGTTTCCTGTAACTTATCCCCACATTGGGACGAAAAAGGCATGCGGTCCACGGATCCAAAAATGTAACATAGCTATAGATTGAAAATGCTCCGTTGATAGTTCAGATTAACCTATCAAAATGGTGATTTTCCATAGCTATGTTTAATGACCAGCGGGAACAGTATCCTTCTCTTTCATATTCAGATCAGTAGGTATTCTCCATGCCAAAGGAATCTATCGCAGTGTTTTTGCGTAGAGCCAATCCATTGATCTAGGTCGTTCTTGACCCAGATAATTTACCAATTGGTATGTTGGGCACTACCCAAGTGTTGAGATCAGTGAGCCAATGATATACTTACATCTCTATATATAGATGTATACCATTTGGTTTGTTCAACGTAGCTATGGAGAATCACAGTTGTTAATAGGTAAGTCATCAAAAATCATCTATTTCTATGGGCCATTGTCCATAGCTATGTTCAATATATAACCAGAGGGTAGATATGAAGAACCGCCAAAGGTGGATAAGTCTGTCCTAAATACCCAGCATTTCTGATCACCATCCACGACAACCGGTGTGGATTACATTGGCAGTTCTACTCACTACAGGATGGGGCCCTCCAGTTATAAGTCGGTTTATAACCCCATCGAAATACAGTTATAAGATGTTACAAGTATCATACACTATGGTTATTATAGTTATAATAAGATGTTATAAGTATCATACACTATGGTTATTATAGTTATAAACCAACTTAGCTAACTATGCGGCCCCATCCTGTAGTTTGCCTGGTATTATAACCATCATTTTTTGGGGCTAAACTCTCCCCCATGGGGGCTGGAAAATCCCATGGTTCAGTAGCTTATGGCTACACGGAACTACGGATTACTAAAACCCATTACCCGGCCTGGTAAACGTTAACAAAAAACGATGGAAAGATCCACCATGCTATCTAGCTGGGTAAATCCATGATTTCGACTGGGCCATTTTCAATAGCTATGTAACAAATTGCCAGAGGGTATGGAATATTATGGGAACCCCCAAAAACACCAGTCATACACTCTAAATATTTTGACAATAATCCAAATATACAATCTATGATTTATCAGTCCGATTCTATTCTTGCTGGCTAAATCCCGTGGTGTTTAATGGTTAAGCTGCATCCCCATTTCTGATGCTTAAATCCTTACTGGTGCGTTTTACGTAGGGAATGGATGGGTTGCTGGGGGTTCCCTACGTTTAGCACCAGTCTGAATTGCTGAAAAATCACCGTTTTCGATGCTTCAATCGCATGCCAAGCCCCCGCACGAAGCATATCTGAAAGCGACCAAGGCCTTGGAGCGACATCAAAATCTGGAGATGTCACTTATGGAGTGAAAGCCTACCAACTAATGGTAAACGTTTATCAAAAAGCGAACTGGAAAATTCATCAAATCACCATGCTATTTATAGGTAAATCAACTATTTCCATGATTCTATGGTCATGTTCAACAGCTTTTTCCATGTTTTACCAGGCCGGGTATACCCAGTTGTCCCAGCCGGCTGGAACGTAACCATCATCCAGGTGGGTCACTGGACGTCTCCAAAACCAGACCCCTTTGGAAAATACGAAAGCACGGCTACCTTTTTTTGTACATGTATGTACGATATCTATATAGTCTATACATATGGAATCATATGGATAGGGCTTAAAAACCCTGAGATCCTTGTTTTCACACCAAAAATTTCCTGATGTTATTCTATCATATCCCGTCATATCCCATTACATACCCACTTTAACCTACATACATCATATATTAGCACCATTTCTTGGCTAAATCAACCATTGTTTACCCTCTGGGAACCTAACATACGGTCGGTTTCTTCGGCCTAAGTTGCTTTACAACTCCAAATGATCACTAGAGTTAATGGGGTTGAGTTGATAAACCAACTTCTAAATTTTGGGGGGCTCCACCTGGTAGCTATGGAAAATCACCATGTTTCATAGGTAAATCATCTATCAATGGGTCATTTTCCCGCTTCTAAGGTCCCATGCTAGCGCCAGCAGCGCCAAAGCCACCGCCTTCCGTGCCTGTCCCAGTTCAATGGTCGGTCGCTCCAGCTGTTGGGAAATGATCGCGAAAAAAGGGGGCGAGGAATTAGCCACAGCCATTTGACCTCAACATTTGCCAAGTTACCCTCTGGTTCTGACTAACATAGCCATGGTATAGATGGCCCATAGAAATAGATGCTTTCCCTGGGTTTACCTATTAATAGCATGGTGATTTTCGGCGAACTGTTAGTTGGTACCCTCCAAGTTGCCATGGCATGTTGGGAGAAACCAGCGACGAGATGTCGAGATGTGACGAGCGGATTAGCCAATGGGAAAAGTTGCCACTTGGTGGTGAACTACCCACGAATCGTAAGTGGGTTATAACCCCAGTGATTTACATGGGATAAGTAGGGTTAATCCACTTAAAACTGGAGTTATAAATGGGATTTTTGTAGGCTTAATCCACTGAAATAACTGGGGTAGTTATAACCCACTTACGATTCGTGGGTAGTTCACCACCAAGCACATCATCTTCAAAGATCCTCATCTTGCAACAGCATAGACCTTGGAGAAATGAGCAAACTTGGGCCTCCGCTTTGAGACTAAGCAAACTCTTACCATTTGAGACAGCCCAAAATGATTCCTCCAGTCGAAAAAAAAATCGCGGAGTTCTCTCATGTTCACCTGATTATAACTACTGAAATACCCCAGGCTACACAGGTTACAGATGGTTACAGTAAAAATCCTAATGGTATCCTCAAATCAAGTGGTTGATGGTCATTTTCCCCATTGAAATGGGCAAATCCATACTCCCTATGACTGGGCGTTGTCAATTCATGGACAACTCCGGTACACTAAACCAGGGCTTTCTAGGGAGCTAGTCAAATATTATAGTATGGAGGAAGGGATGAAAAGTGCGATCTACTTTCAAATGTGTAAACCATGAAAAAACCTTCTACTTTCACATAGCTAAATCATTTCATGAGCTAAATCTCCCACCCTGAAATGTTCCCCAACAACTGAGGAACTCTGCCTGCGGTTTCGCCGCCATTTCTGCGTGTGGTGAGCACTAACGGCAACGGGTTAAAATGATGGACAGATTTCAGAGCACCGAAGAACGGCATCCTGAAACCATTGGGCCATCGGGCTTCCCACACCATCTGGTAGTCAAACCTGGATGGAATATTCTCTGTAAATGTAGATTTTAGATGATTTTAGTGGGAAAATCATCTGCAAATGGGAAATTGTCCAATTGCTATCTTTGATTACCAGAGGGTAGATGCCCCTTGCTTCGGGGATTTCCGTGCAACCGCCCTGTTTGATGAGACTGGAGGGTACCAACCTTTGTTAAATCTCATCCGAAGAAGCACGATTACCCTCTGGTAATTTAACATAGCTATGGACAATCACCATTTTTTTATGGGAAAATCCACTAGCTATGTTAAATTACCAGAGGGTATATAGATGCAAAGAACGACACGGCAGAAAGGCCAACTGAGTGTATTCCATCAGCTGAAGTTGATATCAAAGGTCAAAAATGGGCCATGGAACTCATTTATCTGAGGAAATGCAGTGTCTTGACTCTATTGTCCAACCAGAGTTTCACATAATCCCAAGTGTGTTCTAGATTGTTTTGCATCCTATGGAGATGTATTTTGCATACACATACAGATTTAAACCGAAAATCAGGTTGCAATAGTGAGGGTTCTCCTCAAGAAGAACCAATTTACCGACCATCTCTACCCCTAAGGCCCCAATCCCACCCTACAACTCACCCTCTATACACACTGAGGTAATAGCACGGTTGCACCAAATGACACAGCATGCCCCCATCATTCAGAATCATTGAAAAGGACGTTGCTGTACCGAAACTGGGCCCCCTATTTCAATTTCATCCCAGGTGGTTGTTGGGTGCCCAACATCCCATGCGTCCCATGGGCACTTGGCAAACCAGGGCATGTTCATAACAAAGCGCCTGCACTCCGCTTGGATTGTTAAATGGGGGGTTCCATGGTCATGGGGGTACCCCCAAATGGATGGTTTACAATGGAAAATCCTAGTAAAGTAGATGATGAACAGGGGTACCCCCATTTCAGGAAAGCTCCAAATGTCGCAGAGGTCAGCTGATGGGAATTGGTGGAGATACATCGTGGTCATCATAAAAGTGTTGTTCGACCAATATCAGGCTGGGAGTTCTTGAGAGATCAGTGAACCTGGTGAAGCGATGGTGATGGTGATGGTGATGGTGATGGTGATGGTGATGGTGATGGTGATGATGATGATGATGATGATGATGATGATGATGATGATGATGATGATGCTGATGCTGATGCTGACGTGATGCTGGTGATGCTGGTGATGCTGGTGATGCTGGTGATGCTGGTGATGCTGGTGATGCTGGTGATGCTGGTGATGCTGGTGATGCTGGTGATGCTGGTGATGCTGGTGATGCTGGTGATGCTGGTGATGCTGGTGATGCTGGTGATGATGGTGATGATGGTGATGATGGTGATGATGGTGATGATGGTGATGGCGGTGATGCTGATGATGGTGATGATGAGGATGACGATGACGATGACGGTGACGGTGACGATGATGGTAATGATGATCATGATGATCATGATGATCATGATGATCATGATGATAATGATCATATGAATCTTCCGTCACTATGTCAAGCACAGGTTTAACTCCTGTGAAACCAAGGTTGTCACGTCGTACTGTGTTGCAGATGTTTCGCGGATGTTTTTGGATCCACATCTGATGTGTGTGTGTGTGTCTAAAAAGGGGGGGCCACCTGGGCACCAAAATCCATGCAAAGATCAGCCGCGCTCCCAGAACAATCTCCAAATCCAACTGGATAGGCCCACGAGAAACCCGGCTTTGGTCACTGGGTCCGGGTAAGGTCTTCTGAGATTCTATGCTTTCTGAGTAAGCAGCATTCCTCATCTTACATGCCGACATATAAAGAGACGTTGGAAGCCCAAGAGTTTTCCAGGATGTACCAATGATGTGCTCTCTGGGGAAAAGTTGGAAGTGTCGGCTTGCCACACTATAAATCTCTTCATTTACCTACTAATTCTTCAATGGGGGTTGACCCTACTTTGTTTAACTACACTACTCAATCACTGGAAAAAGAACATAGTATGCAATTCACTTATGGTGGATACACAATAATAGTCACCGTCACCAATAGTAGTGATGAATGAAATATGTATACCCCGACCGTCGGGGGATGACTTGCCATACCCCACATGCCATACGTAGTCAGGGCGTGTTTATTTGAGCCCATGAAAAAGCCCGATTACACATGGTGAATTCTCATGAAAAATCTGGTGAAAAATCGAACTTCCATGGTTGAAAACTATACCTCCATTAAACTGTAGCTATTACAATGGTACATACTAAATTATTTATTAATGGCCTTATGTAATCCTATTTAAAGCTACCATTGTAATAGTACCATTGTAATAGCTACTACCCTCTGCTAAACGTTAACAAACAACTATGGAAAATCATCATTTTGTAGCTGGGAAAATCCACTATTTCTATGGTCATTTTCAATAGCTATGTTGACATAACCAGAGGGTATATGCTACCTGGCATCGATCACCTCCCCTTGCCATCGTCTCAAACAGCTCTCGTGGACATACCCTGGGCCATCCATTGCAACACGTCATGTCACCAGCAGCCAGGGGAAAAGATACAGAGATGGCAGTGTGTCAAAACCCATGGAATCCCCTGTAGTTCACATCAAAATAGCTGGGATTTATGGATGTGAATAACCCCCTAAAAATGGTATTTTCATAGGTATTGATCCATACCCAGATATGTAGATGAAATCCTGCTGAAACAATGGTTAATCACATGTCTTACCTTTCTATTTGACATTAGGATTCAGTTTTAAGAAGAAAACTTGGGGTGCTTACTATCAAAAACATGTTGCGGCTAAAGATTTTCAACCGAAGATGTTCCCATGTTCCAATCATTCCCATGAACCTGGGCCGATCTTTTTTCACGTCATGGGATACCCACCAACTATTGCAAGCCGATCTTAGCCCTAGAAAGATAGAATTTTTAGGAAAAAGAATCCCATTCCAAAATTTAGAAATTGTAGTATACCTTTGGGATACTTTACTGAAATGATAAAATGATAAACCCAAACATGAAAACCAAAGGGTGAATAGGATTATACAATTCTTTTACCATTAGAATTGGATTACAGGAACCACCAAACATCCATAAAGGTCACCAGCAATAAATTGCATCGCGGGCGGGCTAGCCCTGTCTGCGCCCCCATTTCCTCAACGAAACCCACGTGGGTTTCCTAAAATGGGACCCAAAAAAATGATGGAAAATCCTGGCAAAATGGACGAAAACTGGGGGAAGCCCCATGACCAAGAGGAAACCAGCAACTCAAAAACCCATGGAAATTCTCTCGTCGCTGAAAAAATCCAACAAATCTTCTGGCTGTCCATAACGGGATTCCCTGGCTGATCGTGATCGTTCCCAATTTTTGTTGGGTTAGTCCCCAACGAATCATCAACCAACCGTGATTTATGGCTATGATTAGTGGTTGGAAGATTAGTGGAACCATTTCTAGTGGTTAGAAATTTCCAGCGGTTAGAAATCTTTTAACCCATTTCTAGTGGTTAGGAATCCCTACGATTGAATGATGATCATATGCATCCCCATTGAATAAGTATTCAACAGGGAGCAGCCATTACTCATGATGTTATGTCCCCGTTTCTCCTGGTTAAATCAACTCTTGGATCTATACACATATACCATCAAATATTCCAATTCTTGGGTTCATCTAGTCCCCATCACATTCTACTGGTTGGTTACTGTACTCAATATTCCTATCATGGGTTCCAATCCATTGTTGGTTAGTTACATCCACTGTTATCATGTTGCTTAGTGTCCGAACCATTCTTGTTAGTTATATAGTTATTCTCTAAGAAATCACTTGTTGGCTACGTACCCTCGGGTAAATCAACATGGCGAGCCTGCCATTCATCGGGGTTAGAAGATTAGTAAAACCACTAAAAATTGGTGAAAATATCGGGGTCGAACTGTGAATTTACCAGAGGCTATATATCACTATTATATTGATGATTAACTATTGATATTATATGGATAATCAACTTTTATGGTTTTGTATCAACTATATCAATATGATCCCAGCCATAAAAGCCATAAGATCAACAATAATCAAAGCTATATCAACATATCACATTGATATAGTTGATATTAAGCATATTCCAGCCACAGCCACATATAGTTGATGTTATGATCCCAGACTTAAAAGGCTATATCAACATGGCTATAATCATATTCCAGCCACGGCCATTAAAAAAAACAGGCCGTAAGATGCCGTAAGCGTGCGCCCTGCCGGGCGCCATTTAGCGGGCGCCCGCACGGCTGGTCCCTTCGCACTTGCACGGAGTGATCAACTCCTGGAAAGACGTGTTGTTGAAGCTGATTGTAAGCTGTATATGGGGATGGGTCAAAACCTTGTACCCCTGGTGAACATCAAAATAGCTGGTAAATGGATGTTCATCCCACTAAAAATGTATCTATAGGTATTGACCCATAGCCATATTATATCCTCTGGTTAAAGTTTTCCAGCAGGCAATGGTTGAGTACAGGAGGGTAGCTGGATGTAGTTGGAGAACAGGTATTGTATAATGACGATTGTTGGATATACCCTCTGGTAAACTAACAGTTTGCGACATAGAAAATGGCCATAGAAATAGTGGATTTACCCATTGAAAATGGTGATTTTCCATAGTTATGTTAGTTTACCAGAGGGTAGTTGTATGGTCATCCTGGAGTAGATGAATAGTTAGAGTGAAATTCTGAAAGATACTTTTTGAAAAAAAAGGCTAGAGATATACTTAGAGATATTGTTGTAGATAGTGACCAATCCGATTGTATACATATCCTCCATCAATTAGCTATGGTAATATAGTTAGATATGCTTCTAGATATACTTGCTAGTTATACTTATACATAGTTATATATATATATTTATAGATAGTGACCAATCCCTATACATATATATGTATATATATATATCCTCCATACATCAATCCCAATTCTTGTTCTCATAAACCACCTTACCTATCTTGGGGTCTTACATAGTAGATGGGAGGATCCCCGGTCGACCCGGATTTATTTTGGAACTCGCTCCGCTTGCCGAAAAGGTTGCGGAAGGATCGTCTGCCCATTGGTTGTTAAATGTGAGGAACCCTCTCATCAATCAAGCAGTAAGAAAATGAAATCTTTTTGAAAAGTGTTCAAATCCTTCTACTGGTTGCTTAACTATCACTGCTGGTTTCAATCCCTCTGAAAAATATTAGTCAGATTGGATCATCATCCCAGCTATTGGGGAAAATAAAAAATGTTCCAAACCACCAACCAGTCAATCAAGCAGTAAGAAAATGAAATCGATCGAAAAGTGTTCAAATTCTTCTACTGGTTGCTTAACTATCATGTGGTTGGGAAACTCCAAGCACCAACTGGCTCCCCATTTAATGCACCTCCACAGGGGATTCTTCCAAACAGAAGCGGCACTGCGGCACATGTTGTGGGCTACCAGGTAAGGTTGCCTGGCACGACACTTTTTGTGACAGGTTTCTCCGATTCTGGAACTGACTGGAAGGTGAAATTTAGCAGTTTTTTTTGGGAGTGAGGTCAAATTCATCCAATGTTACTCTCCGCCAAACAAAAGCACGGCAATGGGAACTTCACTATCAATGGAGAGAATCGTTAACTGCCATTAACATCAATGCATTTATGATTTGTGGAACTTCATTTCAAGATCTTCTAAAAATGGAGGAATGTTCATTGCCATGTTTGATCACCTGAGCGTAGTGTTGGATGGTGAACTTCTCAACAGCTCGGGGGAGTCCAGAGTCTGATGCGAGAATGGAGTCCCAATAAATCCAGTTCTGACCATGTTCCTGTTGAAATAGCCACTTTGGGGTGTAGATAGTGTAGATCCTCCACTTTCAGAGCCATTGAAAATATTGTGAATTAAGTCCCATCAGATTCCTACTGTGGGCGGGGTTTTCACATGTTTTTTCTCCCCCCATTTTTTTGTCCCCGGCAATTTCGGGACAACTTTCAGCTGCCATCCAGTCTTCAGTACATCAACATAGATCCTAAAAACAGCACCTTTTTTGGTGGTTTCACTACCTTCTGGTAAACGTTTACATAACTATGGAAAACCACCATGCTATTAATGGGGAAATCCACTATTTCTATGGCCATGTTCCAGTTTGCTTTTTCTATGTTGAAACCAGGCCGGGTAATCTTCCAACCCCCCACTCATGGCAGGTCCTAATGGCCATCATCCCCCATGAAAATCCATGGAAAATCCATGGCCGGCTCCATGGCCAATCAACCAGATACCCTGCAATTTTTTTTAAAAAAAAATCTGGCAGCTGGTGAACGTAGATCATCCCATTGATACCCAAAAAAGGACTAGTCAGGATCAGTGAAAAACTAGCCATCCAGTTGATTGACCTAGCTACTAATGGTCATCTAATTGAAGCCCACAATCTGAAGCCCACGTCATATCATCATCTTATCCCATGGCCCATGTCATTCTCCAAAACGTTCCATATAGAGGAGCCGGGAGCGTCAGGTCATCCCATCTACGTGATATCATTGTCAAAAATCTCCATTGAAACCATAGATGCCCATGTTATCCTATTTCTAACATAGATGTTGTTGGGTTCTGGTTCTGGTTGGTGGTTTCAACCAACCCCACTGAAAAATATGATGTTCGTCAGTTGGGATGATGATTATTCCCAAGATGATGGGAAAGTCATAAAATTCCATGGTTCCAGTCACCACCAACCAGATATATTCTTATTCCAATGATTAACCATTATTAACCATAGATTAACCATAGATTAACCATAGATTAACCATAGATTAACCATAGATTAACCATAGATTAACCATAGATTAACCATAGATTAACCATAGATGTCGTTGGGTTCCATTCATATGTTCTATCCCCAAATAACCCTAAACCACAAATTCCCAACGGGATTCCTGGATCTAATCATCCCAACGGAAATTGCTTGGTGCCCACAAAAATACAGGGCAGAAAAGTGTGGAAACCGCCAGGAAATGATGGTGAAAATGATCACCCTATTCTTCTGGTTGGTGGTTGAGCTACCAACCAGAGATAAAATATATGAAAGTCAGTCAGTTGGGATGATGTTGTTATTCCCAGATGGGAAAATGTTCAAAATGCTCCAAACCACCAACCAGTTTTGTATCCCTTTGTTTATTGGTTAAAGGCCCTTTTTCTTGTGAACCCTACTGGAATTCACATCCATGGCGCCTCAAGTTCTTGCAGCCCAGTGGAAATCATGTCCGCCGGCGCTGGTGGCGCGGCGGGTGGCCTGATCGTTAAACACCACGTGTGAATGGATTGTCCACCGTGGGGATGTCAACGTGAAGAACCCCCAAATTCGATTTGGGCCGTTTCAAGTCGCCATGTGTTCACCCAAGTACATTGACTTCATGAAAAACATACAGGTAAATTGTTGATGTTGTTGTGATAATGATCTTAAATTCTTTACACACCAAGTTACATGAGCCACAATCCGCGAGGCAGTTGACATTCATGTGAGCTTCACCGAACGGTTGTACATGCTTCAAACACATTTGCCTATTTACCTGGCAACAATCCAGATTTCCCAAAACATGGTCAGAAAACATGGTCGTTTCGTTGTGAAACCGCACTTTGTACCCTCTGGTAAACGTTTACATAACTATGGAAAGATCCACCATGCTATGTAGCTGGGTAAATCCACTATTTCTATGGCCATGTTCCAGTTCGCTTTTTGTATGTTTACCAGAGGGTATATCCAACAATAGTCATTATACAATAGCTGTTCTCCAACTACATCCAGTTACCCTCCTGTACTCAACCATTGCCTGCTGGAAAACTTGCCTAAGAAGAATGCAAGCAATGTTGACCTCCAAACATGTCTGGCTCCAAGAGCCAACATGGCAAACCTTCGATACGGCAAGCAGCTTCGGTCCGTGAGCTCCATGCCAAAAAAACGCATGGAAAATCTTGGGTAAAACAATTATTTAGCCATCCCCTAAATCAGCATTGATATCATAAATATCATGGTATAAACCCTTCCCAAATATTGTAAGAACTTGAAAAAAGTTGAAAAGTGGCCGTACAACTGCCATGATTTTTCCTCGCCAAACTCCGCTCTCGCCATTCGATTTCGGCTGATGCCATCAGTTCAAGAGGATGCCGTCGTACTTGGTCTGGAACCACTTCATGCCATCCTCCTGAAAGGGTTTTAAAATTCGGCAGGGCCACAGCGCAATGCATTGAAGGGGTTAGATTTAAAGTGGCAAGTGGGTATGATCTGGGCAAACCTTCGTTGAAACGTGTTTGCTGCAAAGCCAATGTACATTTGACCGCGCTCTAGTTGCAGAGTCGGGAGACAGTTGTTTTCCCTCGCGCGAAGTTCAAAGGACGTGGCAGATTTACAGTAACCATATTGCATATCATTAGACTACGGTGTTGAGTCTTGCTTTTGGTGGAGTCATTATCCTGCTACAGTGATATGTTGATGCAGTATATCATGGCAGCTCAAATTTATGGCAACTTTTGACGGAAAAAAAATGGTAAACCATGGCATGTTGGGGTTCTTGATTTCGAGACAAGCCGACAAGCCCAAATGGGTCCCACAGCTACCGGCTGAAAAAACTATCCATGCTAGGGGCCCGGGGGTTCCTCAAATCTCTACAATGATTTCCAGTATATTTGGAGCATTTTGGAACCAGTTTCCGGCAATGGAATGGTTCCCATTTCAAAGTTGATTTCCAATTGTATAAAACCTCCAATTATCTTCAACTGCCATGTTTGATTACCGCTATGGGGTTCTTTGAAGCTCTGCCGACTCTGTCCTTCTTCAGCTTGTGAGCACAGCCCACCTTTCCCACCTTCAACTTGCGGTTCTTCACACGGCTGCCGGGCCGGGAGAGGTGCACGTAGAAGTCCATGCCGTAGATACCGGTGCCAGGGTCGTACTTGATGCCCAAATCAATGTGCTCCTGAGGAAGGTGAGACCCTAAATCAGCTAGGCTAAGGCCAGGTTGAGTTCAGTGGCTAGCCACTAGGCGTTATGGTATCTATATACTTGAAGGGGTTTAGGGTTTAGGGTTTCATAATTTATATAAAGCAACTTATAATTTGGGGGACCAGCACCAAACGTGTAGATGGAAGTAGGATGAAGTAACATACGGCCCGTTCCAGAAATGTTGATCCTGAACAGCCGCGGAATAGATATACATATATACAACTATATATACCATCTGGTTATTTAACATAGCCATGGAAAATCACCATGCTATTAATAGGTAAACCATCTATAAATCGGCCATTTTCCATGGCGAACTGTTAGTCATAACCAGAGGGTAATTATATATACATAGGAAAATAAATACAGCACAAGCAAAATCCCAAACTGTTTCCCGTTTCCCTCCACCTCAGAATTGAATTCTCTGAAGAGACTCTTTGGTTTTCCCCAGCAGATACCAAGTAAGAAAATCACTTCAAAAACGCAAAATCTCCAAAGAAATCGCTTGCTTTCATGAAAATATGAATGGATATCACCACTATATCCCAGAAATTAGTGAAATCCCCATTATTCTTCACTTTTTTCGTTACCCTCTGGTTATTTGCTACAGTTCGCCATGGAAGCCATGGCCCTAATCGAAATAGATGATGTTCCCAGCGAACTAAACCTCCATTGATGGCTGGGATCCATGGCGAACTGTTAGTTAGTCATAACCTGAGGCTATATCCCCAGTGGATCTCCATAAGAAATCACCATTTACCCTCTGGTAAACGTTTACATAACTATGGAAAGATCCATCATGTTTAATGGGAAAATCCACTATAAATCACCATGTTTAATGGGAAAATCCACTATAAATCACCATTTTATAGCTGGGAAAACTCACTATTTCAAGGGCCATGTTCAATAGCTATTTTGACATAACCAGAGGGTAAACCTCAGCTCAGTGGATCAGTGGATCGCGATCAACCAGGCCAGGTGCCGTGATGCCGAAGCCGAAGCTGCCGTTCCGGGCGAAGTTCTTCTTGCGCAGCTCGTACTCCTTCACCTTGAGGCCCTTCTCCAAGATCTCCTGAATGGATGAACGTTGGAGACGTTGGGTGTTTTTTCAAACCATTTAATATACATTATATATATATATATTATAATGTATATATATATATAACATTATATATATATATTATAGTGTATATATATAACATAGGAACTCCTATATGTATAACATAGGAATTCCTATATGTATAACATAGGAATTCCTATATGTATAACATAGGAATATAAATATCTAGTTGGGTGTAGAACAAACCATATTGGAACTTGTTTTTTTGGGGGGAATGTTTGGAGTTGAGAATCTCCTGAAGTTGGTGAAATCAGAAGAGATTTTCCTCTGCAGGATGGGGCCCAGTGATGTGAACGTTGGTTTATAAAATTATAAACCATGAAATAACCACCATTAACTAGTTCGTTATATCTACCATAAACCATAGTTAAACCACTTGTAAGGCAACTGAACGCTATCTTGGGGGCCCCATCCTGTGTGGACCTTTTTCGGAAAACACCTTTGTGTTACAGGAAACTTCATCAGGAAAGTGGCAGTCGTCGACAGCTGTTTTGAAGTCTTGTCAAGGCTGGATTTCCATGTCAGCACCGACTCAAGACTCAAGTGGCTCTGGTTGAAAAGAATCTAAGACGTTAAGGAAAACAGCATCTGGTTGATGGTTTCAACCCCTTCGAAAAATATGAAATCAGTTGGGCTTGTTCTTCCCAATATATGGAAAAATACAAAATGTTCCAAACCACCAATCAGCAATTGATGGTCTATTAATGTTTCAGAAATTGCAAAAGATGTAGATTCGAACATCAAATTTGGGTCACCTCCTTGGCAAGTTGATGTTCGACCGAGGTCATAGACCCATGATGGCGATGCCATACCTTACTTGATTCCATGAAAAATTAAGCTGTGAATTGGTGTAATGTGGTAACAATCAACCTCAAATGTTGGAGGCTAAAACCCTTTTCTGAAGTGAAATTGGGGATGTTTTCTGACTGGGTTTCTCCCCAAAAAAAATGGAATTTACTTGTGGAGACCAAAAAAACTAGCGACACCCAAAACATATCCCCAAAAAAAACAGCTTCCAAACTCAATTCTTCTTCCAATTCCATCTTTTCCACTTCGGCTTTTTCCACCATCCCCCCGTCCACCCCAGTAACCACCGCCACGTCCTCGGCCTTCTCGCCCCGCACGGTCACGTGGCAGGCGATCTTCTCGTTCCGTCGCACGCTCCACTGGCGGATGGTCATCCGGGCCTTCGAAAAGACCGGCTGCTGCTCCGTGAGCTGCTCCTTGGAGCAGAGCCGTTGGTTTCATCGATGGTTTTTTCAGTCCTTTAAGGTTGGGGAAAATGGGAAAAATGAGCTTCTAAAACCAGCTGGGATTTTGAGGTATCTATAGGTATCTTATTCATGAATGGGAAAAATATGAGTTTCTAAAAACCATTGGATGTTATAAAAAAACACCATAATTTCATGAGATACACCATTGGATGTTATCAATCCACAAACATAACCACTAAACCATTGGGATAACCACTAAACCATTGGATGTTTTGAGGGATCTTATCAGACAATGACGCCATCTAGAACAACACGGTCAATGACTTGGATCAGGGATGATCAGGGCCCGGCCCTTCTTGGAAACCGGCTGCATAGATGTGCATAGTATGGATATCAAGATGTAGATATTAGATACACATCTGAAACGGAGGTATCCGTTTCATAAATCTATATGTAATGATTAGTCACTTGGGATATTAGTTGATGATGATGATCATGATGATGATGATGATGGTGATGATGCTGGTGATGATGATGATGATGATGGTGATGATGATGATGATGATGATGAAAATAATTTAGTCACCTGGGACCATCATCCCAGGGTTAAGAGCAATAACATTTGAAACCACCAGCAATTGTAGTGTTTGATCTTCACAAATACCCCACAGAAACCACCCAGGAGTTCAAGACCTTCTTTCACTCAAGCTCGAGCTCAGGGGGCAATGAATACTCATAAGTAGCCCCGACCTCGGGGAATATAGGGTCATCGACCATACTCACATACAGCGATCTGTCCTGAACCAACAGTGCCACAGGCTGTAATCCATCTGGACACTGCAAGACTTCCGTGAAAGTTGGGCTACCTGGGTGTAAGGCAAACACCTTTCTTTGATAATGCTCAGCAACATAGATTGTTCCACTATCAGTTGCAAAAAGGCGGCCCGTGAGGAAAGACCGGCCCTCAGTTTGGATTTGGCCCACCACAACAGGTTCCAAGCACTCACCTGGATTGATGCACAAAATGCGGAGGTTCAGAATATCCAAAAGATAGATCACCTCTTCCTTCGTTACAAACACCTGGTTCGCTCTGAACTGCATGTCTGCTGGAAGACTCTCAGACGCAATCACTGTCTGGAGCGTCGATCCCACCAGCTTTGCCACTGCTCTCCCATGCTGGCGCAATGCATACAGAACTCCGTTGGGCGAGCAAAACAGGGCCGTTGCATCAGCGTTGCCAACAACTAAGTCTCCAGAACCGTTTTGAAACCGAAGAATCCTCCGATTGTCCCAATCTGACACAAACACCTCCCCGCTGGGCGAGATGGCCAGGTCAAGCATATGTCCCAAGTCGTTGATTCCAGTGACAGCAGCGCCTTCGCCTGCAACAGGTCGCACGCGGGATGCAGGGTCACCGGGCTTCCAACTAATGATGCGGCGACCCCCAAAGTGCGCAGCAAACAGTTCACCTTGATGCCACCCCAAAGAGTTACATCGAAAGGGCAGTACCTCTCGCTCTGAAGCTTCAGTGCTGGCGCCTAAAAATGGTGACCAGTGCTGGAAACAATGCCTCTTGGACTGAAATGCACCTGGACTTTGGCTTCTCTTTCGGGAGGTCAATGCGCCCTCAACTTCCCGGTGCAGGTCGTCACCACTTGGACCAGAGAGAGTTCTACAGCCAAGGCGAAGCAAATTCTCCATGGAAAGTGCTTGGAAATGTACATGTTGCAGCAGCACGCCCAGAAAGGCATGTCTGTCCTTGGAAACTTTGTTCCAGGTAAATAATGCATTCACCACTGCCTCTTCCCGTGAGACACCCAGATCTTCTCTTTTCAAAATTCGGGCCAGCTGACTTGCAGTAAGCTTCCCAAAATCTGGATGCTGGCTGCAAGTCTCAAACTCTTCAGCAACCTTGTCCTCGCATGCAGCTCTCAAAGAATGAAGTCCATGCGCTTCTTGCAGAACTTGCAGGGCAACACTGCTGTCCAAGCAGGCTCGGATGCCTGCCTCAATTTCACCTGCTAGTTTTGGCAGGTCATAAGCCTCTGCCAGTCTTAGGAGTTCAAGCCCAACTTCCACTGGTACTTCAGGCTGCCCACCATAGATGTAGTCCAGCAATGCAGACACTGCCTCTTTGGATGCAGCGATTTCAACTGGCTGCTTTTGTTGCACCCTCTCTGCTTCCATAAAGGACCCACCCAGCAGATTCTTGAAGAACAAGCTGGCGGCAGATAGCACGGCCGTATGTGCGCGATGCTCTGCACCATCATGGCTCTTTAGTAACACATCGCAGAGATGGTCGTCCATCCAGAAGTGTCGCAACTGCTGCATGATGTCGGCCCTGTGCTGGGCCGGATCTGAGTGGTCAAGCTTTACAGCTCCCATGGCACTCAACACGCCGCTCCGGAACAGCCGTCTAAAATGCAAGTTCTCTCTCTCTCTTTCTTTTTTTTGGATTTTTTCTCTAGCGCCAATGAAGGTGCGCAGCCTGACCAAAAGATTAAAAATCAAATATGGAACACGGGAGGGTGTTAATTTTCTTAGTGTTTACTCGGTAAGCCCGGAGGCTGTTGGCCGATGGCCTGGTGGATATAAGGCGACCGTATGAAATGGATAAATCAAAAAGGTCCGCACCGAAGGGTGGCAACATCCACCAATTGCAAAACATCTTTTTTGGATTGGATATAGTCAAATTGAAATCCAGTACATGTATGATAAGGATGCATATTCCAAAATATCAATCCCACAGGCTGTGTGATTTTCATAGCCGGCTACGGTGTGTAGAGAAGCTTAGTAATCATGCTGGTAGCCACTGTTGCAGAGTGGGTTGAAGATCCACTCTGCAATTTCTGACCCTTTGAGTTAATGAGTTTCTCTGCCAGAATAGATCACCAAATCAAGGATCCTTGGGCTGCCAATGTTGGTAATTCCGGTTCAATTAAGCCTCAGATCTTTCACCATTGGGGTTTCACTCAAAAATCTATCAGTTCCAACCCTGCCAAAATGTCATCCAGCTCCAACTTCACCCAGAAGAAAATGCCCAACAAAAACCATCCAGCTTCAGTCTTCCGGCGATCTCATGGGATCTCTTCATATCTTGTCCATCTTCCCCGGGCCCCAGTTGGAATTTCGGCCAATGTTGAGGTCGTCACTGACAGAAATTGGGGACAAGGGTGCTGTGTCTTTTAGGATCCAGGTGCAGCACTTGGTGAGTTTCATCAGATCAAGTGAATCAAGTGCCGAAGTTGTGCACTTAAAAGCATGACCACTCTTACATAATGGTAGTAAAACAATAGTAAAGAATCCCCAATTTCACCATAATTAAATAGGTGGTATAAACATGTATAAACCATTCTGAGATAGGTGGATTATGGCATTGTGTTACCCCCATGACTTTCTTTTCTAAGATGACCAACCAGATTTTTTTCATGGCAGGCGAAGTACTTTTTTCGAGAGGTCCAAGTTCTATTCCCATATGTTTGATAGCTAAAATCCCGAAAATCCCCCTACAGAAATGATGAAATCCCCAACTAATCATCAATCAATCATCATTTATCAATGTTATCCCCAATATAATCCCATCAAATCCCATTAAAATCCCCATTAAAATCCCCTATAAATGATGGTTAAATGCTCGTTTCAACCCCATCAATCAACAGGGGCGGATGGGGCGTCATCGTGTCATCGGCATCCAAGGCACCAGGACCTTTGCGGCGCGCGTCAAGCGATCGCCGCTCTCGCCCACGCTGATGTTCAGCACCAGCTTCTCCACCCGGATCTGACGCATGGGGTTCCTCGGAGCAGCAAACCGATAAAGGGGACCTAGAAAAATGAAATGCCATGAAGTCCTGAAGGAGATTTCGATGGAGAAATTAAACTGGTTGGTGGTTTCAAGCTACCTAGCCCTCTGAAAAATGATGGAGTTCGGAAATGTTGGGATCATGACATTCCCAATACATGGAAAAATGAAAATCATGTTCCAAACCACCAACCAGTTTAGGTCAGGAGTTTTCAGAAAGAAAGGAATTTGATTGGAACTTCACCAAGAAACAGGCTGATTTCTGGGGATTTCAGCAGAATGGGAAGTCTCGTGGGAAGCAAATGAGAGGGCTGAACCGGAACAAAATATATACAAGTATGATGTTAAGCAGGAAATGGTGAGGTTTTTTAATGGAAAAAATATATATCATTGAGGATTCTGTTGGGGCAGAGTGGAACAATGATCCAGAGAATCTCATTCGGAAAAAGAATCGCAGTGATACCATGTTGATTCAAAAAGAAAAAGCTGGTTGTTTCATAGGATTTCCTATCATGGATTAACCCCTATCAACAACCAATAGTATGGGCTTCAGCGGCCACTGCTCAAGTGAAACGCAAATACCCTCTGGTAAACTAACATAGCTATGGAAAATCACCATTTTATAGCTGGGTAAATCAACGAACTAAATAGCCATTTTCAACAGCTTTTTGTATGTTTACCAGAGGGTATCTGGATCCATTCCTGATTTTGTTACTGATAATTCACCGTGGCTGTGGGATTCACCCTGGCTGCAATAAACCCACGATCCATTGACAGCATGACTTCCCCATGTCCTGCTGATGTCCAGATCTTGGACGAATCTCATCATGACATATCATGACTTATGAAATCTCTGTTGAAAACAGAAGAAGAACTGCAATCACTGGAACACCATCAAATTTATCTGGTTTTTGCTTATCTTTCATTTTTGCTGGTTAACCAATTTGAACATAGTCAAACACCTTCTTTCTTGCTGGTCATATACTCCACTTCTATCCATTTCCATCCATAACACCATGGTTGTTCTCCGGTAAAAGCCACTGGGACACCCGACTCAGACTTGTCCGCCATGGCAACGAAGAAGTTCTATGGCTGCCACACAGCCACAACGTTAGCGAGGTTCGGCTACCGCTAGGAGCCGAACAGATCCGAAAAGCAGAAATGTCCCGTGGAAAAAATGCTGATGTTACCATGAACAAAAAACAAAAAATATGTTGATCTTCCCAATATATTCCTCTTCCAACATATTCCAAGGATTTCGGACGTTTTGAATGTGGGAATTTGGGAATATCAAGCGACAAAGAACAATCACTACCTCGCCACTTCCGTTGCGTCTTTTCTCCTTCGCAGATCGCCATCCCCGCGCCGGTGTCGTCAAGCCTCAGTTCAGGAGGATGCCGTCGTACTTGGTCTGGAACCACTTCATGCCATCCTCCTGCGTAGCGGCAAGTTCTGGGGGAAACAGTGGGGAAGATCCGAATAAACCCAGGGGAATCCATGGGAATCCATGGGATGTGCTGTGATTTGAAACCAACCAGAAGCCGACGAAAAGTCCTTCTTCAGCTTGTGAGCACAGCCCACCTTTCCCACCTTCAACTTGCGGTTCTTCACACGGCTGCCGGGCCGGGAGAGGTGCACGTAGAAGTCCATGCCGTAGATACCGGTGCCAGGGTCGTACTTGATGCCCAAGTCAATGTGCTCCTGAGTGCAGAATCTGAAAACGTGTAAACAAACGAGGATTTCGTCGTTTCATGCAATGCCTCAACATCAGCAAACAAAGATCATTCTTGACCAACACGTGTGGACTTCAACCACTTCAAACCTGAAATCCAAACGCTTGATTACCTTCAAAACAAGCAAGTTGGTGCCTTCACCCAACAAAAAAGACATCTTTCTGTATGAATGATCCCATTCCCTGGATCCAATGTCACACAAATCAGCAGGTCTCTGGAAGGCGAAAACATGTCACAAAAAATAATATACCCTCCGCCCTCCGACAATTTCTTACATTGTTCAAAAGGAAAATGGATGAAAATGGTCCATCTATGGATGATGTACCATGATTTACCTATGTTGACCGGAAACAAAAAACGGTGATTTTCCCTAGGATTTTCCTTAGCTATGTTCCTTAGCTGCCACACATCTATATTCCCAGCAACCACAGGCCATGATGTTTTCACACCATCCAAGGTGCAGTGATGCCGAAGCCGAAGCTGCCGTTCCGGGCGAAGTTCTTCTTGCGCAGCTCGTACTCCTTCACCTTGAGGCCCTTCTCCAAGATCTCCTGAAGGAATGGATGAACGTTGGAGACGTTGGAGGTTGGAAGATATGGAAGTGGGGTGTTTTTTCAAAGCATGAATTTTCTGTTTGGAATGTGAAATGTGAAGTTGAGAGTCTCCGGTTTAGGTTGGGCGTTATTTAATATGTTTGATTCAGATTTTTTGTGTATAACCAACCTGGAAATGGGGATATGAACTGGAGATATTGACTGGTCTGACTGGAGATATGTCAGGACATATCAGAAACCATTTCATTCTTAGGAAGTTCTCTGGGGGATCTAACAAACCAAAACTCATGGGGGATATGTCAGATGTTTCATGAAAAAATATTTCATGGGGATGGAGTGTAGAACAAACAATTTTTTGTGTTTGGAATGTTTACTCAATGGGAACTCCAGGATCCTAAAATGGAGGTACTGTACCATATAAGGCCATATTTTTTGGGGATATCCCCTTACATAGGCCTTATATAGGCCTTATATATGGTAGGTACATGGCCATTGATTTACTGGAGTTGAGAATCTCCGGTTTTCATTGATGTTTCTCTTCAGAGTCATTGGATGGGGGAAAAAAAAAATCCACGGAGATCTTTCATGGGGATATGTCATGGAGAATGCAAATATGTCTTAGAGATATTTAATGGGGATATACAGGAATGGAATATCTATACATATATATATATAATAATTATATACACACACAAACAACAAACAACAATGTGATAATCATGGGCCAGAATTGTGATTCAAACCACAAAATACTCTGAAGAGACTTGAAATCCAATTGCTGAGGATGCAACCCACAAAATCCGCAAAATCCACCGTGTCATCCAACCCGGTGGGAATGGCAGGTACCATTCCCCTTTTGGGATTTTTTGAATTTGGCACGGAGTATCGGGAGATATTTTCACTATCTTAATTTATTAACAAGCGATGGGATTTTACAAAAATATTCATCCTTAGATATCCCTACTTCAAGTGATGTTCCCAGCGACTCACCATTCTTGGCATCCTGGGTCTTTAAAACCCTGTGACCATACTCTCGAGTCAAATGTACATCCTCAAAAACAAAAAATATGTCTCGAACCGTAGATGAAATCTAAAATACTCTGTGATATCTCCTATATATATATATATATGTAACCATTTTTTTCAAGTCCAAGTCTAAACAGTCTACACTCCCAATTTTCCTTGCTCTTCCATGTAAAATATCTCCATCTGAGCCTCCCCCTAGGCCCCATCCCCCCCTCCACCCCAGTAACCACCACCACGTCCTCGGCCTTCTCGCCCCGCACGGTCACGTGGCAGGCGATCTTCTCGTTCCGTCGCACGCTCCACTGGCGGATGGTCATCCGGGCCTTCGAAAAGACCGGCTGCTGCTCCGTGAGCTGCTCCTAGGACGGAGCTGCAAAATCATGAGATCATTATGGTATAATATTGGTATAGTAATATTAATATTGGTATAATAATAATAATAATAGTAATAATATGGTATAAGAATCACCATTTAAACCTCTGGTAAACGTTTACATAACTATGGAAAGATCCACCATGTTTAATGGGAAAATCCACTATAAATCACCATTTTCAATAGCTATTTTGACATAACCAGAGGGTAATATTGGTATCATATTATCATTATGGTGTATCAATATTCTTGGGATAATAACTTATAATCAGTGGTTATTCTCATATTATATATTATACACCAATACACCTAAATCAATCCACCGATAACTAATATTGGGATAAGATGCATCCCTCGGAGCTGAATTCCAATGAGAAGATGTGGATTGAACAGGGGGACACGGGGGAACTTTCATTGACAAAAAATGGAAGTGACAAGAATGGGAGTAAGTAGTATCTTGGTATGTTATATTTACATATATATATATGTACATGTATTATACAGATTTTTTATGTCATTTATCATATATCTCTTCTTAACTACCAGGATTGGTTTCCCATAGAATTGCCAAAGTTCGCTGCCGCACTGAGTTTGAACATCTGATGGACAGATGCTCACCCTGCAAGAACGACAAGCACCAAGGAAGAATACACCCATCCTGAAGTATAGGTTTTACAAAATTGCAGGGGAACCCCAAGGCTGAAAAATCTTCCAAAAAAAGACATGCCAGGGGTGATCGTAACATTCGTTACAGCCCAACCTTTCAGATCTAGCAGCTACATGCCAACATACTGTACCAGGTTACCATATTCAGTTTGCATCGGCAGGTGGGCAAAACAAATGCCGAAAGTATCTCAAAGTCATGGTTGCGTCCTGAGACACAGGAAGAAATAAACCATGTCAGTAGATGGCTTAGTGGCTGCATCAGTGCCCGACTCCCACCATTGCCTGCTCTGTGTGGGTGTCGTCTTCTGGGATCCAGCTTTGTCTGAAAATGGTTGGTTTCTTCCAATTGGTGTCATGCACTGTTAAAAGGAAAAAATAAGGAATATTTCTACCCAGTTCCCCATACTTTGAAGGTATTCTGCACATCTCAAGATTTCTACCCAACATTTTTAGGTGCCATATTTCGCCATAGTTCGCCCTATGCGCCAGCTGCCATCCCATGGCCATCCTGTTGTGTCATCCGAGGCTCCAACACCTTGGCGGCGCGCGTCAAGCGATCGCCGCTCTCACCCACGCTGATGTTCAGCACCAGCTTCTCCACCCGGATCTGACGCATGGGGTTCCTCGTCAGCTCAGCTTTTTCGTGGAATTTCTTGATGGAATTTCTGAGGGATTTCTGAAGTGGATTTTCATGGATGAAGTTTTCACAAGAAAAACAGCTCTAGGCCTAGCCATGAAATTCATGAATCAGAGCAGTCGGCCAAAACTCAACAGACCGGGAGCTTTCAAAGCCGGGGAAAGCCTGGTGAACCCCAAAATGGGTTCACGGTTGTGCCCCCAAATCTTCAGCGAAGTGGGTTTCCAACTAGAACAACTGAGGATAAAGTTGGTAATTTAAAAAGCGTAGCTAGATGGGTCGTAAATCCACGAACATAACTAGGGGCATCCCCCCAGTTATGTGTTTTTTTGGGTGTCCATCCTCCTGCGAAAATGGTTTCATATGGTTTCATAACTATTAGCCCATCTCCAAGTACGACTGCTTCGGTTGTCCCATAGAAATGAGGCATAATTTTGTTTGCTGCAACCAGTTGGTAAGTGGGATAATCCTCCCGCGCCGGGTTTAGATTCGACGCAAGACATATAGGAACTCATCGTGTCAATGGTCAGGCATATCCCAACTGGCTAGGTCCAGCCATTTGTTGGTGGTGAAGCACCCTTTCTTGGGATGAAACGAGGGTACAAGGACAACTATCATTCGCGATAACTCGGTCAAAAACCCACTGGAATGCCAAAACTGTCCAAGAAACTCCGATTTGTCAGCCATGGCGACACTCTTCGCCGCAGAGCGGGGAGGCGAAGTTGCAATGTCCCTTGAGCCGCGCATAAAGAGGTGAGACTTTTGCGAAACCTTTGGGATTCAACGATTTTTAGGATTCCTCAAGGATTGTCCAAGGCCTATGTTCTTCAAAACCAATGGAAACACATTGGTTGGGCGGGCAATTCCTGCAGTTTGTGGGATGGTCATCCTGATTTTTTTTTCCAACCAGATGACTGGAGGAACCACGCGTTCTGTGCAGCACTGGGGAACTGGCATTTGGCGGTTCCCCAGTTTTCTTTGTGGTTCTATAAATACCTCTAAATACCTCAATGTTAAAATGATGTTAATCACGTGGAAATGGTTTAATCCGTTTAGTACATGAGACTCTGTGAGACATCCAGAAAATTGGGGATAAGGGAGATCTGGGTAATTTGCAATAGTTCACTAGCCTGAAATAGGGCCATTTGGGGATAGCTAACCCTTACTAATCACTATTCCAATGAGGTCGCAGTGAGGCCGTTAGAATTTACCCAAGGAAATGTTTCACCAACAATACTTTGGCCAATAGATTGGGTGCAACACAACACAAACGGAACATACCAAGAACAATGCTGAAATATGGTTGTTTTATTGTTTCATGGTTGTTTCCTGGCATGTGGGACCGTCATCCACAATTTGTCTGTTTTTCTTGCAAGAAACAAAAAACTTTAGAATTGACGCTCGCCAATGTTGGAACAAGTGGAACACAAACTATCTGCGATTTGGATTTTGACCGAAAAACATCCTACAAAAATCGGGAACATCCCTGACCCATTGGTTTCCCTCACGAAAATGAATATTGTTTTTTCACATGACGGATTTTGCGTCCCTGCGCAGTCCCCTTTTTCAAGACTTACGTCGAACATAGGGGCATAAATATCCACATTCAACAAATCCAGCTCAACTTTTTCCTCACGCCGTATGACGACACCCGTTGTGGCATCGAAAGGTGACGTGGAGTGAGATTTGACCATTGAAAGTGCTGGTTTCTGTTGCCTGTTTTTTTTCCACGACTGTGTTGAATGCCCCCAGGCAGATTTTATGTGACGACTCGGCGTTCAATGTGTGTCTGCAATAATTTCAACCTGTTGCTACCCAGTTCGGGGATCCCAACTACCCAAAATCATTGGGACGGCTCTTGCAGGTAGCTGGGTGACATTTGAAAATTACCTCGAAATTTCAACCCACGTCAACCGGAGTGTCCAACACATGCATTGATTCATTTAATGGTATGGAATGGAGGAGAAACATCCAGCAACTCCTGGACGTGCTTGCCATCAATAAATTAAAAATGACAAAATGACGTCACCCGAACCCCTGGATATTAACAGCCTGATTTTTTTGGATTTTACATCCTATTGTATATATAATATGATTGCGTTGTCCCCACTTAAATTTTTTCATCCCCAATCTTGCGCAAAAAAAACTTTCGTGATAGTGGAAATATATTATAGCAGCTCTTTCGGAGGTCTGGTGAAATGAGTGAAATTTGCAGAAACAGGTCGAACAATCTGATTATCACTGGTTCAATGCAACACGACCAAAATTCTCATTGCCAATTTTTTCGGTGGTCTGTCAACAACTGTCAGCCACATCTTGCAATTTCCTGATTTTGCATGAATTTTCTCAGCCCTTCGGCAATTCACGACATATATGCGTACAGATTCTGTTCGTGCCTCACGGTTTTGTTGCTTTTGTCTTGCCGCCCCTGGCGGCCCCACAATTTGTGGTTCAGGCTTGACATAAGTTATTGGCGTCGCAAATCGCAAACGTTCTTGAAGCAACACACCCACGGATGGCACTGATTTTGGAAGCCTGTTTCTACATACCGCCTTGGGCAGCCGTCTTCCGACGTAGGCCCAGCTCAGCCCCGACTGCTGTCGCAGTGTCTTACTGCAACGGCGCTCTGTCTCAGGGAGGCGGTTTCGCAGCGAAGGTCTGGCGTGCTTGGCTGGATACGGATGTGGCGCTTGGCAAAAACCCAAGAATGCAATGGCCCAGCACGTTGGCGTGCCGGATGACAGATTTAGAAGGCGGCTGAGTTCCCCACGCTAGTTGGTCCAAGATTTCACCCAGAATGGAGCCTAGTTATGGCGCCGCTGGCAACGCAGCGTGGCAGCAGGCGCCACCTTCCTGATTTACTGAACCTGACCCCTAACTCATGGAGCACCTCAGAAAAGTTGGGCAAGCGTGCAGTGGTCTGTGGTGCAGGTCTTGGTTTGTTGTGCGGGGTGTTGTGCGACCTGCTTTTTCGTCATCCAAAAGTTGGCGACAAACCATGGAAGTTTGGAGTTCTCAGGTTTGAGACAACCCCATACTATCTCCAGGTCCAACACCCTGAAGAAAAATCTGTTGAAGAAGAAAATTCCCGAGGGAACACCCATGGCGAAAATTTGCAGGTTTCTTGTAGATATTCTCTTCATTGAATTACACCACCGTAGTCCCCAACAGTGATTGGATACAGAAAGTGTTTTGGGGAACAGGGTCAAACACAGCAACAGGAATCGCAAAAACGTTTGCAGTAAGTCTCCGAGACAAGGCAAACAAAGCAACCAAAAAGGAAACCAAAAGAGAGAACAAGAAAAACAAGAAGGAAGGCAAGACGGAAGACAAGAAGGAAATGAAGAAGGAAGTGAAGGAAGTGACGAAAGAAATGAAGGTCGGCATTTTCAGGGAGAAGGGAGACAAGGCCTTAACAGCACGGATACACTTTCTCCAGTGAACCCAGGAATCAGACCAACGGAGCTGGTAGTGAACATTATGGGACACCTGAACCTACCCTCGATGTCAAAATAGCTAGCTAGAAACTGGGCCATCTGTAGATGATTTACCTCGTAAAAATGGTGATTTTCCATAACTGCTTAAATTACCAGAGGGCAGCTTTGAAAACATGTTGAGCCAATCGTTTTGGCCCACATCACCTAAAACCAACATAATGTAGGGGTAGAAGCAACCGAAAAGTGGAAGTATAAACGAACAAAAAGGGAGATCATCAACAGAGGCCTTCAGCCCGAACCGACAAGCTCTGTAGAGGAGTCAGGCAACCAGCCAGCCAAGTGCCAGACAATTTTTTTTTTTAAAAAAACAGTTAATCAAGCATGGTTGGCTAGAAAAAAAGCTCTCGAATTAACCAACATAAATCATATGTGTATATATATATATACATCATGTGTATGTATGTATATACAGATTTTTTCTGTATATATATATATATAATGTAAATGTATATGTATGTATATCCCATACATTATATATGTGTGACATGGAGGAAATCACCAACAACAGCAACAGTGACTCTTGCAGGTCGTGGCTATGGATCAAAAGCCCGTGGACGTATGGGAAAAAATGGTGATTAATGTGGGGCTCACCATGAAAAATGGTGATATGATGGGATATACATATCTATAAATACAATACGGTGGATGGAAGAAGTCCTGCACCTTGGATGGGGGATGAACATCCATAAATCCCAGCTATGATGATGTGAACCACAGTACCCAGGTCACGAAATCGCATCCTCCAAGAAATAGACTTCCCCTGCGGGGAGCCCCAAAAAATAGGACATACATTAAGCATATATTAAACCAGGGTCATTTGGTGGTCCCATCAATCTTGAGTTTCTCCCCTAGGGATCTTGGTTGATGTGGTAAACCCATGGCTGAAGTGGCAAACCCAGGCGTAACCCCATCATTCCGGGATATGGTTTTTATCAATCCCCCAAAATGGTGAGCCATTGAAGAACTGGGGTACAGTTTCAACCTCCGGAATTACAATTTGAAAACGATGTTTTTTTCAACCCAAAATTGAGTGGTTCATTCAACCCAAATTTTCCTTGTGCGCCATGGTCAAAACATGGTTTTTTTGGCTGCCACGGGTCATCCATCATTGGGAATCCTTGTGGCGTAATATCAATCAGTGAATTGATGACCCAAAAGCCATGTACGAAGTTACAAGCCATGCTTTGACCATGGGTCATTAAATGTCCCCATTGAACATCACCCAACCATTAGGTATATGGTCTATAATGGCTACTTTTTCAGGTGATGTCCAATATCCCAAAAATGGGACATTTACCAATCCCTGTTTGACCATGGCAGGTCCCGGTCCCAACGTTGGGCTTGCGACAGGTACCTCAACCCGACTTGAAGAGTAGAACGGCCACCTGAGGATCTCCGTTGGATTCACGAAAAAAAATGGTCCCAGATCAACAAACCCGGCCTGGTGATGTCAACAGTTTGCCGGCTAGAAGCCATGGCCCTAATCGAAATAGTGGATTTACCCAGCTAAGAAATGGTGGATCTTTCCATACTTATGTAAACGTTTACCAGATCTATAAGCCATTTGCTGTTTGTAGAAAACCCCAATGGCGACTGGCTGGGTTCCACTCACCACTTGCTGGGCGTGGGCTTCTCCAAGACTATCCATCCCAAAATGTCTGAAATGTTGGGTCATGTTTGGGATGCAATTCATGATATGGGTCGGAAAGAAAAGGTTGGAAACTGGTTGACCCCAAAATGGAAAGTTCGGGTATCCTATGTAGACAAATCCCTATCATTCTGACCTGGGTGGACTTTCGGAGCCCTAGATCCTGGTTGACGGCTCCGAGGATCATTTGCTACTCAAATGGCACCCAAAATTCATGACATCTGAAGATCATTCGAAAGAAAATTGAAGCATCTCAACTAAAATGTGGCACTCAATCCATTTCTCTCAAGGTCTTTACTTGGTCAAACTCCCCTTTGACCGGCCCGACCTGCCCCAAATAGAAATAGATGAAATGCTTCGTCTCGTGCGTGACGTAGGAACCAAAGTTGCGGCCCACCACACAGTGCCAGGTGGGGTTGTACTTCTTGTCGAACTCCTCTGGAAATGTTGGATTTTTTCCGGGACTTTGGGGATGCCAATTTATAGCAGTTATGGCCATTAAGGAATGGGGACAATGATATGGGGAGAATAAAAAAATCTGATCGACTTCCTCAGACTTAGTCAGTGGCTTCTACTACATACCTAGTGATAAGTTGGGTAAGTGGGTTGTTTCTGTAGCTAATTACCTGCATATAAGTGGTTTATTATTGAACCTCCAAGGGTTCCAAGCTGGAAGAATGGAAGACATGGGGCAAATGGAATGGAGAGAATGGAATCATGGGACATCATGGGACATCATGTGGCTAAACCATCGCTCAAAACTCTTAAAAATTAAAAAAATCTTACAGACAGACAGGACAGGACAGGACAGGACAGGACAGGACAGGACAGGACAGGACAGGACAGGACTGGACTGGACTTGACAGGCAGCGGCTGACCTTTTGGTTCTTTTCGGCAGAACCCAAACCAGCGGTCCTTCTTAATGAACGCGGCGATATCCTTCCTGGGCGGTGACAGTGATTAATGAATCGAATTTATGGTGAACATATGGATCCATGGTGAATATGCGATGGCTGCTCAATACAAAAAAAATATTGTTGTGGTCATAAAAAGCTGGATGTGCGGGTGCGCGATCCAAGTTACACCTGACTATTTAACTATTTATGTTTATTGTATGCCCAAGTCTTGTTGGATACATACTTATGTCAAAATATATGTATGTGTTTGATTTATTCGTTTGTTTATATTCATATATTTATGTACAATTGGATACGTGAACATGAACCCAACTTGTAGGAGAGGGGACATAAATTTGTGGTAGATAACACTGGTGAATTTCCCGGGTTGCTGAAGGATTATCTCATGACGGCATTTTCCTTTTCGGGAATCCAATGCACAATTGACTTGGGAATGAAACAAACATCTGGTATTTTGAGGTGAATATTCAGATCGGGGGAAGGTTACTGGCTGACGGTTTTTCCACTCTGGATGTATCCCACGCCATCTTCTCCTTCCAAGATCAAACCGCCATATGAAAGATGCATGTACGTGTATGCATACCTTATCGTATGTATGTATATCAAACTATATCAAAGATGTGATGTATTTATTTGTATTTCACACTAAATTATCTATTCAATATTTGACATGACAAATTGTTTGACATATTATACATTAAAAATGTTGCAAATGTTTTTACTTATGCATTGTACCCTTGCAAGTTTTTTTTTGCCTCAAAAAAATATGAGCTTGTAAATGAAAAAGGAAAATGGAAAATGATACTCTAAATAGTTTGCACGTGATATAGCGTATATTGTACATTATATCAAACATATCTTATTCATCACATTAAGTATCGTGTCTGAAGCCTTTCACAGTTAATACAATATGTTTCATTTGTGTTTGACTTTCAAAATTACTTTTCATTTTTATATATAAACAAATATGTTTTCATGTAGATAGAGATATATAGAACACTATTTTTGAAAATGTTCAGACATGATGCGCACTACTTGATATACAACACACGATTTGTCTTCTTGTATTTCTTGATTTTTTATTTTTTGGTTTGAGGAAAATTGGTTTTCATTGTGTGGTATATCAGATTTTTGCAATTTCCATTCGGCGGCGGGAGCAGTCCAGGTGGGGGGCCGATCAGGTCCTTGGCCCATCTCTCATGGGCTCTTTGTCGGTGCGTGGAAAAAAACAGCTTGTGTGCCACAATGATTTGAATAGCCTTACACACCTATCACCCGAATACAATGTTATAGGACCCATTTGCAAGGAAATTGCCTTTTCAAATTGATAAAATCGTATAAAATCGGAGTCCAAGGAACCCTAACCGCCTCCTCGAGCGCCTTCTTCTGTTGCCTTTCGGCCTTGGCTGCGCACAATCTTCAGGTCATTTCAATGCGCTCTTTGCGATCAGCCAAAATCCACAAAGGCCCCGGCAATCAGAAGCCCGTGCAGCTCGTCGCGGCGCATTTCGGTCTTTCTGTGCGCCTGCTTCGGCCAAGGGAGTCAAAAAATAAACCATGCAGAAATAAGGTCTCTATCACGCCTCGATCCCTTGCTGCAACTGTTTCTCGAGGTCCAAGGAACCCTCACCGCCTCCTCGAGCTGTTTCCTCTGTAGCCTTTCGGCTATCAGCAGGCTATGCAGCTCGTTCTGGCGCATCGTAGTGCGTCGATGCGCTTCAATTTCCTGTCGCAGGGCCTTCTCGAGCTCCTGTCAAAAGAGGCAAATCTATGCCAAGTGCGCCCCTTCATAATGGAGAACCCCCGGCCTCCTTTTTGGGATGGCGCGGCATAGATATCCTAAGAATGTGATCCTGTTTGGCTGTGCGGGTGGAGGACTAAGCCTCACTAAGTCTCACAATCAGTTATTTGAAACAGTTTATTTGAACTGTCTTGTACATTTTTCCCCTGTTACCATACCAGTGCACCGTAGACTGTGGAATATGGAAGAAGGTGGCGTGCTAAGTGTGTAGTGGAGTGTGGAGTGTGTAGAGTGTACAGTGTGGAGTGTAGTGTAAAGTGTGGACTGTGGAGTGCAGAGTGTGGAGTGTAACGTGTGGAGTGTGGAGTGTAAAGTGCGGAGTGTAAAGTGTAAAGTAAAGTGTGGAGTGTAGAGTGCAAAATGTAGAGTGTAAAGTGTAGAGTGCGGAGTGTAAAGTGTAGAGTGTGGAGTGGAAAGTGTAGAGTGTGGAGTGTGGAGTGTGAAGGGTAAAGTAGGGAGTGTGGAGTGTATAGAGTGTGTAGTGTGGAGTCTGGAGTGTGCAGTGGGTAAAGTGTAGAGTGTGGAGTGTAGAGTGTGGAGTGTGGAGTGTAGGGTGTGGAGTGTGGAGTGCAAAGTGTGGAGTGAGAAGTGTGGAGAGTAAAGTGTAGAGCGTGTAAAGTGTGGAGTGTGTAAAGTGTAGAGTGTGGAGTGTAGAGTGTAAAGTGTAAATTGTAAAGTGTGGAGTGTAGAGTGTGGAGTGTAGAGTGTGGAGTGTAGAGTGTGGAGTGTAAAGTGCAAAATGTGGAGTGTGGAGTGTAGTGTGTGGAGTGTGGAGTGTAAAGTGTAGAGTGTAAAGTGTAGAGTGTAAAATGTAGAGTGTAAAGTGTGGAATGTAAAGTGTGGACCGTAAAGTGTAGAGTGAGGAGTGCAAAGGATAAAGTGTGGAGTGCGGAGTGTAAAGTGTGGAGTGTGAAGTGTAAAGTGTAGAGTGTGAAGTGTGGAGAGTAAAGTGTGGGCTCTGGAGTGTAGGCTGTAAAGTGTGGAGTGCAGAGTGTGGAGTGTAAAGTGTGGGCTGTGGAGTGTAGACTGTAAAGTGTGGAGTGTAGAGTGTGGAGTGTAAAGTGTGGGCTGTGGCGTGTAAAGTGTGGAGTGCAGAGTGTGAAGTGTACAGTGTAGTGTGTAAAGTGTGGAGTGTGGAGTGTAAAGTGTGGAGTGTAAAGTGTGGAGTGCAAAGTGTAAAGTGGGGATTTCGTGGGAGACTTCCTCCAATTTTCACACTTTGTAGCTTCAAAATCGACGTTTTCCTACCAGTTTTTTTAGGAACCTCTATTGCTACCTCGATCGATGCTTCGTGCGAGGCTCCCGTCAATTTTTATCACATCTCACAAAATGCCACGCCTGTCACGGAATTTGCACCTTGTCGCCACTTGACGCAGCCCTGACAATGCGATTCGCACGCAACACGACACGTCTCAAGTGCTGCGCCTCCACGCAAAATAACGATGGACACGTCCAAAGTGCTGCGCCTGCCACAAAAAATGCAACTCAT